AGAAATCCGGCCCCTCCGAAAACGATCCCGGAGCCTCAGCTGGAGTCTCCATGTCGAACCTCTTTTTTCTCCGCGATTAATCTGAGCATGGATGTCGTCGTCGTCATCGTCGCCGGCCGTCCGGTGCGTCTCTTCCCGGCTCCGTTTGTCGGAGACTCTGTTGGTCTCCGGGAAGGTCCCAAAGGGGGCATACAACTGCCAAAAACGCCTCGCAGACGCCCAGGTAATGTATGACTGACTGAGACGACCCTCGACGACTGGATGGACTAAAAATGTCTCGACATTTGGCTGCTACACTATGAGTGCAAGCGCCGCCAGTTTTCTCTCTCAGCTCTGCCTGCTGGGAGAACGGAACTGCCGGAAATCCGCGCAGGGTGGCGTCGAAAACCGGAATGAAGGTGAAATTTACCTAGCAATACTCAAGTTGAGCCTCAGCTCCGGGGATCTCGGGGCTGATGAAACTCATCGCCGAGAGCTTTCCGAAGTTTTTCTACGAGAAGCTGTTCGGGGAACCTCGCTCAGAAATGACCGTTTGATTCGGAAGCCGCCTGGTAGATGATGACATTGGTGTCTAAAGAGCCGATGCCATAAAGTGCTGTGGATTGTGAGTGACTAGCATCGAGCACCCAGAGCTTCCGCCCCAATGAGCTCGAATAGAAGAAGACGGCCGAGCAAGCGGCTAGGACACCTCAAACCGCCTATCCTCCTGCTGTTAGGAGCTGGCTGCCAGCCCAGCGATCCCAGTCATTGTGAGGGCCTCAGCGCGAGCGACGAAATGTTGGATGCCTTGCTTGCGTCAAATTGTAGCCTGGCACCCAACGCTCTCGGCTGCCATGGAGCCTGACCTGCCTAACTCGACCGTTCGCCACCGCCCGCCATCGTTCTTTTCGGAATTAGAGGAATCGGCCGGAGTAGCTCCGCGGGTCGCTTTCTTCGTGCGACACTGAAATACTTTTGTAATTGAAGTCAGTCGGTGGCCTCTGAGGCATCGAAATCGATCGGCAAGCGAAGTCCTCATACGGTGCGACGGGCCGATATGGTTAGCGCTTCCAGTTCGCTACCTTTCCGATCGGAGGGTTCTGCCTCGAGCCTCGAGCACCAACTGATCCTTCTCAATCTGTTTGCGAATCCGGACCGATGACGCGCAGCGCATCTGACCTATGACATTCAGATCATTTCTGTGATGGGAAGTTTTCAGAGAACGCTGAGCCGCTGGAAATACATGGTTGTTTCCTGAAAAGGCTCCGGACTAACGCTCGAGTGCGAGCAACCTGTGCCAGAAGCATCTTGCGAGAGGAGAAGTCCGTGAGCACGTTTCCGTGCTTCCCGCGCTTATATTCGATGTGACAGATATGTCAGATCTCTGAGAGCAGGATGAGATTTGGAGCACCAAAGTGACATTGGTGAGGCAGAAAATATACAGATTCTCGCGGTACGCCCAGTTGAGAATTCTACGCTTGTATGGGATACAGAAAAATCGCTCGACGCATGTGATTGATCTATGAGTCGTAAGGGATGATCAATTGCTTCGAGATTCCTCGCCGGAATTCAGCGAAAGGTGGTCCATTCAAGCAATGCAGCCCGCGTGGATCGGATGGTCCATCTCGTCGAACTAGGTCTCTAATTGAAGAGAATAGGAAGATCATGCTGACGTATCTAACAGGAATGATTACGCTCTGATCGGACCGGCTCCGAGTCTTGATAGAACTCAGAAGTCTCCCTAATCTCCGAGGGTTTTTTCAATTCTCCGAGGGTTCAGGGAGCTCGTGGAAGGAGTACATGGAGATAGGTCAATACAAAAATCATTTTTATTTACAGTATAAATACATGGACACGGTCTCTCCGGCGGGCAGTGATCCAATTCGAACTCATTTGGGAGCTCGTAGAACGTCTTTCAACTGCACAGCTGGATGGATGTCGACCACTGAGGCGTAGTCCCTAACCTTCAGGCGGCATCCCGCGATATGGATGAAAGACCTCTCATTCTGCTTGAGGTTATCCTCCAGAACGCTGTCGAATTCCCGCGTGTGTTTTGAACGTATCGGTGGCAGAATGCTGAGACTCGCATCGATCTGCGCGCTTTCGAGCGCTTGTCGAGCCGATTTGGGACCTACGAATTGCCGCAGAGCTTCTCCGAGCTTCCGCCGTTTGACTGAGAGGGGTCCGGCGAACTTCAGGAGTTTCCCAGATTTTGTAGACTTCGACATGTGTGCGATAGGATCTTGTTGATCAAGAGTCAGATCTCTGGACTTGCAAGATTTTCTCCTCACGCTTCTCCGCACTTTCTTCGACTTCAGTCCGGCGACAGGAGTCTGCTCCACTTTGCACTCCCAAGTCGTATCACAGGTTTTGAGACTAGAGCATCCTTGGCCGCTGATGAGATGAGTATCGTCAACTTGAGGAGAGATCGACGTTGTTGCGGCCGTCGCCTGCGGAAGTGCCGCTTCAAGAAGCTGATGATCACTCTCAGAGTAAGCTGAGTACTTCAAATGGTGGGTCGTCTGGTAAGAAATCTGGTAATCCACCGAAGTCAGCGAATAGCTACTGGCGGGGCTCAATCCACGATCTTCGTAGGGAAAGTTGTAGTAACCCGTCTGCTCCTCTGACGCTTGTGTTGAGTGCAGAAGACTCGATATCGGCGGTAACCGGGTGAATTCTGTTCTGTGCCGTGGGGTGTTCAACGCCATTACGGCCACCTGGGTCGCCTGTGCGCTCAGCTTCTCGAGCTCGTTCTCCGAGCTAGCAAAATCATTAAATAATATGTCGCTCGATTCTTGGGGCGGTGTAGGAGCGCTCGGAGGCTGTTGTAAATACGACCGATCCGTGAAGGTGATTTTCAAAAAATTCGTTCGATCCACCAAAAAGTGACGCGGTGTCGTTCGGTGGTACATTAGGCAGTGGGTCTCCAGATCCTGTTGGCATCGAGCCGTCGCCATACACGCACAACACATCCACCGGTTCTCGTCGTTTGTGTGCGGCACGCCGTACCGCGTCGGCAAGTGGTACTTTGCTTCGTAGTATGGATGCGCGAAGTCACAATGTCTTAGTATCTCAGTCTCGATATCACAGCGGATTGGACAATGGAAACACCGGAAGTCTTTGATTTCGACGCTCATGAACTCGTCGCACAGATCTCGCTCTCCGGGAGACAGCAGAGCGTTCAGGGCGTCCGCGATCTCGAGACAGTCTTCCATGCCCGTGTCGTGGCCGGGGTTCCAGTCGTACATCATGATTTCCTGGCCGACCATCACTGAGTTCAGAGTGAGTCTGCGAGCTCTCCCGATGCAAGGACCATGTGAGCACATTGTTATGGAGCCGGCTGCGAGAGAGGGTACTTGCAAGCACCGCCCACGAAGTCAGTTGAGGAAGGGCACATTGGGAATGGTTTCAATCGGGAGGCTCGGAGGAAGCGACCTTGCGAAGCTTGCTGAGCAATTAGTCACTCTCAGCGGCGTGCGGTCGTTGCCGTAGCGCGCCGCAATGAACGACAACAGGTGGTTTCCGTGCATCGGGCGCACCGAAAAAGGATCCCGTATCGAACGTGACAATCCCCAGACACAATTTCTTCGAGATGGAGCTTCTCGAAGGACAATAATAGCGTTGATCTTATGCGTGTATAGACCGATAAAATTATAGAGCCCAAATATGCTCCGCTCGTATTTTATGTGATCTCATGGAAAATTCCCTGCCTAATCCGATGCTTCAATCGACTTATTGCGAGCGCTCGCGGAAGCTACGAAGCCAATGGAGGACTTTTCGTCGTCACACAGCGAGGAGCGCCGACCTTTCCGGAATCCCCCCGCGGAGCTTCTCTATTAGCCCCCCGATCCTTGGCTGCCTTCCAGATCCTCATGTTCTGGATCTAGACGTTTGGGATTTCCTTGCGCCGACTTGGACCGTGATGCCGGCGGCTCTTTTCCCCTCGCGGTTTCCAACCTTTGACACGTGGAGAGTCGAGAACAAACCCCCGGAATACGGAGGGTCAGCTCATCGGAATCTCTGACGGTTATCGTGAAGATGGTAATGCAGATAGCTTGGAAGCTCACGCATTACTATGTAGGTGTTCTGCATGACTTGGGGCCAACTTACCTTTGTGGATCTCCGTTATCCAGAGAGCTGGAGATCCGTTTCTATCATGCCATCAATGGACCGAATTCTCATCACGAAATGGATCCAGCGGGAACAACTTAGAATGGCTCCAGGCGATTGCGAGCAAAAGATTATACACGGAGGGCTTCGAGTCCGAAACCGCTGTCCACCTGTCGCCGAGAGAAGGCATTCCAAGCTGTCTGGTTCGCGGCATCAAGAAGTCGTCGCTCTCCAGAGCAAGGACCGCATTGAGACCAGGTGATTCTCAATATTCTCATGGAGGTACAGTGCGGTGGGAGACTCTGACTTCGAATCGGTCGTGCGGCATTCGGTGACACTAGAGAATCCCGTGACGAGGGCGAGGTAGATCCATCCTCCCTCAACGATCCGCCTGCCGAGCGCGAGCTGTGATTACGTAGATTCCCTACACCTCCCACCGGGCTGAGGCGCGTCGTTCCACTCAGCTCTTATGATCCCGCATGGCATTCCCATGAGACCGCATGTCTTCCACTCTTGGTCCGTCAAACTGCGTACCATAGTGGCTGTGGACGGGAAATTTTCCCAACCGCAAGTATTGCAGAGGCATTTAATGCATCGCTCTATGCAAACTCCGTCATCTCGCATCTGCTGCGGGAAAATTTCGCGAGACCTCCGTGGAGAGCAACAATGAATCAGTCCGGGGAGCGCAGATTGCTCAGGGCGACTCTTTGCCGTTTCAGAGGAATTCAATTTCTAGATAAGTTTCGGGTTGAAAAGCGACTCAGACTGATCACTCCCGCCATTGGGGGGAGTGCCGATGGGGAAGGGAAATCGACTAGTGTTTTGGACAGAGCATTAGTCTGCGTTGAACGCATGGTCACGGAGAGCCGCTCCGGGAGGTATAGCGGGAGGAACGTCGAACCTTCAATCGATGTTTAAGTCAGTGTAAAATTCCACCGTTTTCGGCTCCCAGCTTGAGAGGTCGGAAGCAACGCGTGATTTCCATTTGAGGACCTCAGTCTGTGCGGGCATCCGCCGTGAACATCGGGAACGAATTAGTAGGCATTGAAGCTTGGAGTGGTGGTAGAGAAATGAAGTCAACGGGAGAATCACCCGATGCCAAGCGCGCCAAGATCCACGAGAAACCCTCCGCAGATGCTCTGCTGTCCGTGAAAAAGTCGAAGAAGAGGACGATTTCGATTGCGGTGTGCGCGTCAATGTTGGAGAATCTGAAGGGAGAGGGTTCGAAGCACCGAGTTATCGCCCAGATCGCGAGAGCGGCCGCAATTTTTCGGGTCAATGAAGTGATCGTCGTTGACGATGCCTAGTGAGCTACTATTTCATCTGATCGACCATCTTTTTCTGTGTATCGGGGTATTCCCCAGGAATGCTTTCATAACTTTCGCGCTCTTTCAGCAAGAATCCTGGTTTCGACTCATCGAAAGATTCGAATTTGTTCCAACTGATCCTCGAATATTTGGATTGCCCCCAGTACCTGCGCAAATCTCTGTTTCCAATGTGTTTAGAACTAAAACACATAGGCGTGGCGCCACCTCTCGACGCATCGCACCACGTAAGGTATCAATCGGCAGAGCCGCCTGCACCTCGACGGGGGATGCTCACATCAATAATAATGACCAATGCCCAGCAATCGTATGGATATACTCTATGACAGTAAAGCAGGAGCAATCGATGACTTCGCGGATTGTACAGAACTTGACTCAGGTTCCCCGAATCATATCAAATCATTCCAGGATGGAGGATGAAGTGCCATATCGAGAAGGAATCGTAACCAGGGTTTCCCTCGGCTCAGTTTGGCTGGATGTCGGCCTCCATGAAGACATCAAAATCGAGTCTCGCGCAGAAGTCAAGCAAGGTCTTCGAGTGACTGTCAACATGACCGAGAAGAGCATTGTAGGACCCGACACACCTCGCAAGAAAGACGGACTTTACTGGGGCTACAGAACTCGAGTTGCAAAATCGATTTCCGAAGTGATAGCACTTTGTCCCTTCGAGAAAGGGTGCGTCTCCCCAGACTTCTTTCATACTTAAGTACATCCTTCTAGCAACTCAGCCGTTCCTGTCACGCTAATCGCGCGAGACTCATGGTCCACGTCACTCATCCTACGTGAGGCGCGATTGAAACATGGATAGTATATCTATACTTCTGGAGAAATTATGAATAGTCTTGATTCACTTCTCCGCAGTTATGACATGACTATTGGTACATCGGAGAGAGGGGAGAGTATCTTGGAATTGGAAGCTCTAGGGAAATTTCGTCATCTTCTGATCGTTTTCGGGGGACCAAAAGGCTTGGAACATGCTCTCGAGCAGGACAAAGCGCTCACCCAAGTCAAAGAACCGAAAAATGTGTTCGATAAGTGAGTATCACATTAACTTCTTCCTACTCCATGTGATTCCAATTTCTCTTCGTGCGTGCTCGTCAAATTACCATCGGAGTCAATGCGGCAGGTTCTGAATCCGACGAAATTTTTCGAAGGTATCTCAACACCTGCCCATTGCAAGGGAGCAGGACAATCCGCACAGAGGAGGCTGTTCTTATAAGTTTGTCGGCGTTGCAGAAGTATTTTTGGTGTTCCTAAAATCGGAACATGCAAGGAAATATATGCGTGCAGATGTTCATTTTGTACAATAAAATGGATTCCAAAGGGTCCAACAGGACGAAAGACAGGCCCGACTCGGGAAGCTCGAGTCGTACTGGAAAAATCATCAATTGGTCTTGCTATCTTCTAATACCACGATTGACTCGAAGTAATCGGATCCGATGCGCGTCAACTCTCTCCGCATAGTACTTCCGGATTCTGGTGGCGTTAATAGATCACATGTAAGCAAAGAGTCCCCCGATCCTGTCGCAGGAGGAACTCTCGAGGTCCTTTGTCGCTTATCCCCAGCTGCCCCCTCATGGAGTTCGGCTCGACACCTCGACCAAGATGAACGGCCATCCTTTCAAAGTTTTGTCCGAATCTCAGTCTTAGCCTCAGCGGTCGTCGCTTGAATAGTCTCTGATTCGATCGCCCGGTCGGGTGGTTTGGGGGAGTCTCGTCTCTGACGACAGTTCCAGAATGGATCATCATTTTATCATCATACACCGAAACTCTCCCGTTTCCCTCCGAGGCTAAAGTTCCGCAACGGTCTCGAATCGACTTTCCTTTTGTCGAGTCGGGCCAATTGGCTCGGGTCTCGACTATCGTGAGTTCAACGATCTAGGTTGACCATTTCTACCGATGATAGAGGTGAAACAATCAATGAAGGCGTGAGGTTTTCGCCCTGTCCAGGGCCTTTATTCCTACCATTGTACATCATGAAGTCATGAGACCTGCATGAATTGTAGTTATTGGAAGTTCATGTCTGCGATTCTCGGCAACGATGTCCTAGCTGATACGGGAGCGAAGGTGGGTCATCTATGAGAGCTCTAGCCACTGACGGAGAGGAAGTGCGAGTCTTCTGTGATAACAGGTCTGGTCAAGAATTTCGCGCGGGCAGCTCACTGAAAAGATTCCCGCCAAGAGGCGGTTCACGTGGGATCCAATCAAGAGAGGGATGAAGAATAATCACGAGCCGACAAGAAGTTTCTATGGCCATCCAGGTCACAGGTGAATTCGCGAACTTTGTACACTCCACCACGCAAATGATGAGGAATGATGGCTTTTCCTGTCCGGGATGGTGATTCGAGAGTTTGGGTTCACGTTCTCATTGTCCGTGTGCCCATTACATCCAGTTTCTTGGTCAGACGGAAGAGTTTCATCATGTCCTTGGTCTCCGACGGGAACCGGCCTTCAAAGTGCAGCGTGTGAAGGAGCCGTACGCAGGCCGCTGTGTCCGAAACCGTCACGAAGTGACCATCAGGCGAGATCCTCATCAAAAGCGGTGAAAGTCGCCAGAAAGCTTCGTCGAAGACGACGAACTCGCCGTCACCAGTCCAGATTGAGTACCAGGGGGGTGAGATTTCGACCAAAAATTCGAGAGCGATTTCCTCCAACTTCTCGAAGTCCATTTCCATGGCGTCCTGGAAAGTTTCGGTCCACACGGCATTCCTGATGGCCAAGCTCAGAGGATTCTCTCGAATCTGTTGCATCATCGAAGCGGAACTCAAGATCCCCAGGGGAAGACGATCCGCCGTCTGAGAAATTGAGCTCCTTCACAATCCTAGAGGAATGGACGGTTTTTTTGAAATCCTGAGTTTTTATCGACGAGGGGGCCTGTGAAATCGCGATCCGATCTGATATGACCATCCCCTACGTGATGACTCAGCGAGTCGGAGTACAGAAGTCTGGAGTCCAATAAGTTCCGCACGCTGATATCGGAGGCATCAGCCTGAAGCGCAGAGGTAATCTTTCACCTCAATGGAACTCTCCGTCAATCTTCGAGATTACGGCTCCAGAGATAATCGCGCGCTTCGACCGACACCTTGTGCGGTCCATCATTGCAGTCTTGAAGTACCGTTTTCTAGAGAATAATCATCGAGCTCTGCAAGAGTTACACGTCCTTATTCGTAACTCACATATGCGGGTGATTTCGATCAACCTCCACCTGAAGGTGAATGAGGCTGGGATTCACTGATCCTTGCAAGGCTCGATCCATCCATATCATGCTAATACATGGAAGAAGTCTCAACTCGTCCAACTAGGATGGAGATATGAAGGTGAGAAAATCTCATCGGGTTGCCCCTAGCGCTTCTGGTACTTCCTTGGTGGTGCATGATAAGGATGACGAGTTTAATCCGGACACAGGCAGGCGGGTATCGTGATCGATATCCCCTGGGAGACTCCAGGCGAGGAGATTTTTCCCGATACTCTTGGGCTTGAAGCTCAGCTCCCCTGGACGTAATGGGATGAATACTGGAGTCGGCATGGATCCACAATGGGATGCTGCCACGATTCGGATTACTCACCTCATAATTGATAACAGAATGCTCGGAGAAAGAATCCCTCAGGCTTCATACATTGGCCGTCTCCTGAGAGGAGGGAGATTTCTCAGCTCTCGTCCCGTGCTACATGGGTTCGTTTCTGGCACCTCTCGCAAGCAACGAAGCAGATCTGTTCCCATCGGAGAAGCCTCCCAACGGACTACTGATCCGGCAAATGATTGTCCCCGAATCTGTCATCCCATCTCTCGGTCTCGAATCAGAGCCGGAAAAAATATCCCAACAGAGTCTCGTTCGAGGGACCTTTGATGCTCCAATATCCATGAAGATGATGTACATAATTCATTTTATTACGGGCCGAGCTCAAGGTATGGATCGAGCTAGGAGGAGGTTTTCCCCGATGGAGAGAGTTCAGCTTCGTTCCGGACTCGTGAGACTCTTTCCTGGGGCTGGAGGGCATATCGACCGAATGCTTGTCGACATCTAGATCGCTCGAATGACTAAAACACCGCTACGACGCCACAGGCAGGGTTTTCGCCCTCGTTCGACATCCTGAGACCAAACGCTACAGTGAGCCACTGTTTGAAGTGTCCAGGAGACTTCCTGCGGTAAGTCGTTTCGCTCAGATCGTAGTAGAAGGATAATAAGGCTGCAGCCGCGGTGCGAATCCGATTGAGTTGAGCATTAGTAGTCCTTTCGCAATCTAGCGAAAATGAGGTCACCAAATTCGATCCTGGCTGCGCCAGCTTGCGGTGTTTTGAGTCAATGGTGCGAAGCAAGGTTCATGACCGCAGAGGTACGGATAGAGACTTGAGACTGATCTTGATGAATTTGACCGCCTGATTACGGTTCGGGCCTTCTCTCAAGCTTTGTTTTCGGCACCTGAGGCTTTATTCAAAAGTTTTTCCCAGGTCGCTCATCATCGCCCGCGATCGGGAGAAAGGTAACTCAGCGCAAGCCAGAATGGGGAACCCCATTACATGAGGGAGGAGGTACGCCGATGTTATTTGTCCGACTTGTGATGTTCGAAAGTTTTCGGGCTGAACAGATATCGATCGGACTTCTTCGAATAGATAGTTTCGGGAGGAAGTCAAGCGTTTCCCTCACAGCGTTTGAACCGCTCTCGGGGTCGGTCGCTGCTGATTCACCGTGGCTTATCTGTGATCCGGAGTGGGATCCTTGCGCAAATCGCAACCGAACTGCTCGGAGACTGTGCTATGCCCATCACTTGCATCCCCCCTGGATGAGGTCGTTAAAATCAGGATGATAAGCTCTCGGGGTGTCCCCCAGGTCTCAGGAAATCCTCATTTCACTTGTAGGTGTCCCATGAAGTGTCACGCGAGATACCGGCGGATGCCCACAAGGCGTAGTGTGTTGCTTGCGTGCATAGTGACCATCGCAACTCTACTCTTAGCGAGGCTCCTACATCAGAGGAGGACGAACTTCCTCATCAATCGGATGCTTGCAGAGATCGCCCATTGGAGAAACAGGACGCATATCGACCTCCCGGGATGCACTTTGCCGTACGTGGATCCCTCGAGCCGTGTCATTCTGCGTGATTGGTTCGAAAATGGAGACTCCATCGATTGCCGAAAACAGAAGCGCTACATCTTCAACACGGAAGTTCGCGGACATAGGACATGCCCGAGATTGAACTCGGAGGTATTGCTGGAGGACTACAACGCAAGACCGGATCAAGTGGACTGTACCTACCAAGCCATGACGCATGATCCTCGATCGAGAAGAATGATGCTTTCCCTGAAAAAAGGCGAGAAGAAACCCTTACGAGGTTGTGCCGATGACGATCTTATCTGGATAACGTGTTATGTGCAAGGGGTGTTTTACGAGCAGCCTCTCTTCACCATAAAGGATGTTCCTGGACGGAGCAGCGGCCGGACAGATCCATCCATCGAAAACTTCGATGTAGCAGTACTGGGGATAGATTCCATGTCTCGTTTGAATTTTCATAGGAACTTTCCTCTGACTTCACGGATGATTCTCTCAAATTACGGGGAGGACGCAATAGATCTGCAAGCATTCAACAAAGTCGGCTTGAATTCCGCACCGAATCAAATTCCGTTCCTCACCGGGAAACGCTTCCGGCATGAGAGAGATCTGACAAGAGGCGAGTATGCGGACAACTTCTCCAGGTACATTTGGGAGGATTTTTCTGACGCTGGCTACTCCACGCTTTTCGCCGAGGAGCAGATGGAGTTCGGGCTGTTCGTTTATCCGAATCGCAAGGGTTTCAAAAAAATTCCAACCGACTTCTGGCCGCGACCGCTGATGATGAAGCAGAGCGAACGGAGATGGGATCAAATTTACTCCTCAAAAAGCGCCAGGCATTGTCTCGGAGGAGAGCTGACGTCGGCTTGCCTCCTTCGCTTCTGGTTCGATGTCCAACGAGTTTCCCGGAGGCCGCTCTTCAGCTATTTGTGGCTGAGCGAACTGACTCACGACACTTTGACCGGGGGCAGAAACCTTGACAGTTTGATGTCGCAGACCTTCAAGAGCATGCTCGATGTGATGACGAATAACACCATCATCTTCTTCCTCTCCGATCATGGATATCGGATGTCGCCGTATAGGGAGACTCCTCTCGGGGAACACGAGGATTTGCTCCCCTTCGGGAAAATCCTCCTCCCTCCTCGATTTCGGGACAAATATCCCGACAAGGTCGCTCGACTCAGAAGCAATGCAGCCCGCCTCGTCACTCCTTACGACATCCATGCCACTCTGCTCTCGTTAGTGAAGATCGCCTCGAATGTATCGCGAACTCCCGTGAGATCCGACTCAGAGCTCGGTCTTAGTTTACTGGATGAGCCCATTCCGGCGGAGAGAACCTGTGGAGATGCCGGAATCGATGCTGAATATTGCTCTTGCTATGATGGTTTTGAAATCGATCCGGACCAATCGCGAGCGAAGCTCCTTGCAGAAGAAGTAATCGCCACTGTTAATGAAATTCTAGATTCAGCGAAGGCAACAAGTTGCTCACGTTTACGAGATTTCGTGGTGATCCGTTTGAAGCAGTTCGGAAATAAGATTCTGAAAGAAGTTTTCTACAAGATCACAGTCAAAGCTGAACCCGGCTCCATCAAGCTGGAAGCTTTTCTCAAGCGTCTGAATAATACCAAATTCGCTATGCAGGGACTGCCTGACCGTCTTGACCGGTACAGCGCAACTTCGACGTGTGCCAAGGATACAGCACACGAGAAATTTTGTAGATGCAAGGGGTCGTGAGTCACCGTGTGTCAGTGCAGCTTGTGGGAATCAGGCTTTCCTGGATCGCTCCGTATGCTATAGCTTGGCGACAAACGTAGGACCAACCTATAGAGGTGCGTCGCCATCAGACCGGTGCCGAAGAGACACATCTGACATGACGAGACGCAGTGTGATAGAGTGAAGCTCGGAGATCGAATGCTCATAACCAGGCTCACGGCGAACAGTCCTCATGAAACCCATTCGGTATAGATCGGTGACGAGCCGAGAAAGATAGATCGAGGTCCGAATCGATATCGATCTCGAGAGTTGCTCTCACAGATTGACCTAAGCTTTCATCAATCATTCTGGCTTCCTCACCATTCTGGAAAACATATCGAAGAAATGCGAAAGGAAAGAGCTTCAGCGGGCGTTCCGAGCGGTGTAAGGAGAAGACATGCGGCGGAGCCGTCGATGTTAATCAGAACGATGATGGCAAGAAATGGTGGGAAAAAAATGATGCCATCATGAACGAAACTTCATTGAGAGACGTTGGTAGCGGTAGATGAGACGGGTCATCCTTTAAGACTTTAAGATATCACCGATAGACAGTAGATCTGTTAATTTCGGAGGAGAAGCCTGTCACGGTTGCGAGCAAGAAGATGGGCCACTTAAGGGTCCTAGTGTAAGCGAATCGTGACGGGAGCGAAAACACGACCCTGTCGATCATGGCACATAGTAAGAGCCCTAGATGTTTTCCGAAGAGAGCGAAGGACGAAGTTATCTATGCAACTGGACGAGGTCAACGATCGCAGAAACGAGCTTGGATGGTTACGACTTACGACGATGTTCTCAGAGCGATCGATACGAGTCGGCAACTCATATGGAAGGAGGAAACGGAAAATTCCTATTCTCCTGGGGTCATGAACTTGATTTTCATCTAGCCCGCGTCAGAGTCTGGTTTATGAACGGGGAGAGAAAGAAATCAAGCTGCTCCAAGGCATGAGGTTCTCGGAGGGAGAATGGGACGGAGTCAGTTCTCGGACAGTTCGCAAATCTCTCCTCACGCGGACTGTCGTCTAGATTGGGCGCATCGGAGCAGTGATATAAAGAAGTTTCCGTCTCGCAAATGACGTAAAGGGAAATCATCGAACATGGTGATCGTTAATTACCCTCTGAGTCGTGTGAATGAACGATACTAGCTAGATAGACAGCCTCTTGAGTAACTCTTCTATAATGCAGAATTCGGAAATTTCCAGGATTCGGCTCCCAGAATCACCAAATCACCAGGACTTGAGCCAGCCCAGGTCTATACCAAATCTCGAGCAGTGTCGGAGACACATACTTATAACAACGGGCCAATGTCCCCGGCTCCTTCACGAGGCTGGCCCTGCTAAGGCTCGGATATTGGAGCGCTTCGAGCCCCAGGACCTTGCTGCCTTCCTAGGTCTGCAAGCATGGTCCGCCATGGGGACTAGGAATTGCTAGGAGTATACAAGCTCCTACTTTCGACATATCGCTGCTCCTTAGCCGGAACAGAGCTCCATTATCTGCCTAGTTGCTCTGAGCCCATGGCCCGCAGAAAACAAGCTCAAACCCCTCAGGTTTCATCTCGTGTCCCAGAAGTTATAGATTCTTCTACACTCATTCTGTTGGACGCGAGATCCCTCGCAGCCAGAAGAGTCGTCACGGATTACAGAAGACTTGCGCAAGTCGATGCTCCTCGGGAGCCTCCGCAGTGTCGGAGCTACCGAAAGCAATGTGGAGAGAAAATCTCACGATTGAATATCCGATGTGCCCCGCTCGCACCAACTTACCGCATTAGTGACTCATACGATGTTAGCGGCAGTCGACGTCGAGAGCGAGAGCCAAAAGAACTTTCTGCTCGGACGATTTGCAGCGTGGCCTCGAGTTCCGAACGCGAGCCACTCAAGGTTGCCGATCACCCGTTTTCATCAAAACGCTCTTTCATCTGGACTTCATTCCGGCCTAACTGTGTGAGACAGTGCTGATGGTCCAGCTAATGGCCGCGTTTGACGTTGCCAACAAGGCGAAATGGCTAACAATATTACGATTGCAACCCCTTGTTGTGAAGGTACACACCCGACTTCAATTTAATGTAGATCTCACAGGAGAGCCGCGACCGGGAAGTTTTCCCTCACGGGAATCGAGAGAGCGACGCTGAAGCTCTGTAAGGATCCAATAGTGTACCTACTGGATCAGGAATGATATACATCTACCACGTGGTATATGTTCGGCTCAACAATGAGGATACCACACAAGTTTGTGGTATTCCTGCGTACCGGACGTCATCAGGGAGTAGGATGTTCAATCGCTTTTCGAAAACTACGAGCTCGATCAGCTACAAGCTCCGCTACGGGGGTCGTTCTCGCCTCCCCCTTCCACGTCAGGAATACGGGCTGGAGATCGGATATTCTGAATCCTCAATACAGATGCAGCCGGACGGCCGACCGAGATTGAGGCCTTCAGACGAACATCAGAGAAATATCTGAGAAATCAGAATCTAAAGAAGCGCGGACAGAAAATGCGAGTGAACCTCTCTCGCGCTGAATTTCCCCACCGGGTTACAGCAGGTATGACATCATGAGAAAACTTGCGTCGTTGAGGCCGCTGGGAGCGTACCCAATACAGTTCTGAGCTGAGGGCTCAAATCTGATGCCTGCGGTGTCGGGACGGAATGCCCCTGAGCCGGAACCTCTAATCAGACGGTGGGGATAATAAATCAAATGGGTGTCTCGGCACTGAGAGGGAGAGACGGAAAATAACAATGCGGGACTTAAATGAGGCAAGGATGATTACATAGAATTACATAGAATAATACATAAGCCCGAATCATAGAAGCCAGAATCGCAGAAGCCAGAATTCTCAAGTGCCAGAATTCACATAAGCCGGGATGGACCGTCGCCCAGTCGGCGCCTCCCAATGCGCAACGAAGCTCTTAAATCTTTGATTGCAAGTGAGCGCCTCATCCGACTGACGGGCGAATTTGAATCCGGCGCGAAGAGTTTGATGGAATACGTGCACTGCGTCGGATTCAACTTGAAGACTTGAGAATTGTGATCGTGAGGTTTAGTTCCTGTCGTTTCACAGAGGATGGAATGCAATAATGCGGATTTTATGACGGATTATGACAAATGAAGTCATATTTAGTCCCATGACTTAAACTCCAAGTCTTCTTATTCCTTCCTTCGAATCCGCGGTAGCACCGGCTAATGAGAACTCTGGCTTATGAGAATTCTGGCTTCTGCGATTCTGTCTTTTGCGATTCTAGCTCCTGAGATAGTACCCTCTGCGCCTGGAACTCAGCGGAAGGAAGTCGCCTAATTTCGAGACGGAGCCAATCCAGAATTACTGCGGGTAGCAGAGTTGCCGATCAAGGCCGGGAGGCAAGACTCAATTGTTCGCAAAGAGTGAGCCGAGAAGTGATTCTCATTTTCAGTCCCCTACAGAGAGCTGCTTGCGAGGGGTGATAATGAAGGCGACGAGGATGTCCTAGAGCTTTTGAGGAGAATTGAGGGCATAACTCCGATCCAGAATAAAGTCCATTTGCACAAGACTTTGCTTTTTTCTCTCTCTTTCCTATCCGAATATTGGGCCATTATACTCACGAGGTCCGTCAAAAATGATTCGAGCATGTTTGCAGCAGTCGGATCGGGTCGACAAGGGGCTTCTCTGCTCGTAAAACGCTTTATTGCGCCGATCAGAATTCTCTCGAGCGAAATCGTCGCGCAAGATTTCTTTTGACGAGATCGCGGAGAAGAGGCGCCGTACTCCAATTTTTCACCAAGAAAACATTCCAGAGCCGCATACTGCATCTGAGAGTTGGTCAGTCAGGTGCTGCGTATTTAAGGGAAATATCATCATTCTGAATGCTGCTGGATGTAAGAATTTACAGGTGGCAACAGCAATGGCCGATGGCGCACCGGTGAATGATTCTTTCTTCTCCTTCGTCGGATCCCGGTCTGTGATTTTCCATCGTCGAGCAGGGGCGTGAGGGTACTCCGAGGGCGCTACATGGGTCAGATACTCGGTGAATGATACCTATTCCGCATCTTCTTCTAAGGGCCTGCCTTCATGTCAAGAATGAGGACCTGTGCCCCGCAGCAGCCATACACGGGTCGGTACATACCAGAGTGGTCAAACTTTTCTGTACAGTGCGGCGAGGCGGAACTCTCCTCCGAAGCAACCTCTGGAGTCGTTCCCCCGCTGCGACATTGAGCCCTACAAACGATTGTGGAGAGTGGGCGGGAAAGACATCTATATGAAGCCGCGCACAACGAGCCTCGCAAGTGACGAACAACGGAGACGTGCGCTATGTTATCCATGAAGCCAGACTATAGGTCGAGTGCTCTGGTGCGCGGTGAGAGGAACTAGCCGAATTTCGAAGAATCTGTGCCTAACAGAAGGTCCCCAACGTTTAATGCATACCATAAATATTATCTGCAAAAACTAGGTAAGAAGAAATCAGGGGTTCGTTATATGCGAGATTTATATTATTATAATTATAATTATTGCCGTTTATTCAGTAAGAGCTAGGTTTGTATTGATCGTGAGCGCCTTGAAGTCACGGTCATCTTCAAACTGACGGTCACTCGGCGGGGTTTCATGGCCGTTTCCACGACTTGCTGAGGTCCTAGATGATCTTCCAGCCACACGCACATAACGATTGGTCGACGGCCCGTCGTAGCATCCATTCGCCCTTCCATTCATTCAGGCGAGATTCAGCTAGATTCCGGGTAGAAAAATTATCGGACCCATAGAGCCGATAGGCAGAGGATATTTTCCCTCTACCGTGGTTATTAGCCATCCGGGAATGACCCAGGATCTAGATGCTTTCCTCAGTAGTTTTCCTAGAATCCAGGAAGCCTGTGTCTGTCGTTTCGTTCACTTTCACAAGAATCTCGAGCATGGCCCGAAACTCCCACAAGACCACGCGCCGTGTCGTTATGATATCCTGAGCGGGAACGGGAATGATCATTCTGTTTCAAATTCAGTTCTCCCTGATATGTCTTCGCGGGATTCGATGTCACCATGGATCTAAATCGTCGCGAGCCAGATTCTCATTCTGAATCGTCCATTGATGCTGGCGATCCGCTCTCCGCCTGACTGGGAACCTTCCTGATCCGAAAATCGAGATTTAGGCACGATCAGCCAAAGCGTTATCTGACGAGAGCTGGAGCGGGGATTCCACAGTTTTCCTACCAATAGCAAAGAGCAGAATAGTATTATGCCATCCATTGCCGAAATTGTCGGCTCGCAAAAGCGGCGAAATTCCATACCATGCAGAACGAGGTATGACATTGAGCAAACCACCTCCACACGAGATCGACGATGTTCCACGTGGAAGAAATGACGCCGATCCTCATGAAACTCGACTCATCACACGGAGTTTCATATTTTGAGTCAAACTGCAAGACTGGGGAAAGGGGGGCCTCGGCGGTAGGAAATCCAATCGGAGCACACGGGTTGATCGACAATCTCGGGTGAGACGAGGATGGCCCCCTCCGGTCCTCCCTGATCCCTGGCCGTCTCCAATGCCAGGGATGTTGAAGGTCAGGGATCATGAGACTCCGGGTCCCAAAGTGTCCAACGCCAGGGAAGTGTGCAAAACTCACCTGAGACCTGCGTCATTTGAGACGTTGAGACCTGAGATTTTGAGATCTCCCAGGAGAAATCTCATGATATCTCCCAACCTACTCGATTGGGTTCGATGAGATCCCGAGTCTGACGATCTGACGGAAAGTATTTTTCTCAAAATCGGACTCGTGTTTTTTCTTGATGAGCAGCATTGATAGATTCGAGCTCTTTTCCCTCAATAGGATCTCATGAGATCTTATGTTGGACTTGTTTTGCATCTCTCGATGGCATATCGCGGACACAATGGGCTATCTACTTCCATGGGACTTCCCATGCGCTCGCCGCGTGCGCAACATCACTCTATCGCCGGGGGCTACTCGCCGCGATGCCGACGGCGAACATAGCGACTAGGACCACCCATTTAGACTACATTAAGACATGAGAGGACGACATTTTCCTACCGGAATCGGGCAAGACCCTCGGTTTTCAACTTCGGCAATGCTGCCACATTATCTAGATGTAGAGCACAACCTAAACGCTAATGGATATGAATTCCCTCCTGCTCGGAGGGAAAACTCACCTTTTCGCAGGACCCGCAATGACCACCGCTTGGAAGGAAACACAGCACGGGAAGAAGACAACGCTGACTGAGAACGTTTTTCCGTGCTCGCTGGTGCCGCGCTAGGCGCCGTTCATATCTCGACTGCGTCAATTCGTCATGAGCTTATCATGCTTCGTTATTGAGATGTATAAACCTCGCGCCGATTAAAAAATTTCACCGTATTTTAGGCTCGTTCTCGAGTGTACTGTGTTCGCGGTTGATTCCAAACGAGTACCTCACAGACAGACGGGCTCCACGCAAGTACATTAGGGTATTGCCAGCTCCCATACCGTCGAGGATTCTATGATGGAGACCGAGTGCGGCGCGGCGCAGACCCGCCGCGATATGCCACGGCGCGCCGTCGAGAACTTTCATGAATTCATGACCGCGCCGCGGCGGCGCGCCGCCGACGGATCAGCTCGCGGCGCACCACTCTGTTAAGAACTCATCTGATGAGTCACTCATTGGCGGCACTTCAGAATGCAAATTTTGGGTAGGTTGGAGATCAGCTATCGTTTCTCATGATACCCGTACAACCATCCGTTCGACTAGGTATATTCCAAATAAGCGGACCGGCGAAGCTCGCAAGATAATCTCCGAACTCCGAACATCGAAAACTGTCTGCCGAAAAAGAGCACCCAGGTTCTCAAGACACATTCCCAAAAAACACAATTGCATGTGCACCCCTTTGCCGTCTCTTTCCCGGCTCATTTCACGGACTGGCCTTGGTAGAACAGAATTTTCTGCACCGCGGCTACGGCCTTCTTGTCCTCTCGCCCAAAAGACTCTCGCTCTGCAGGCGGACCGCTTGGACGCAGAAGTCGTTCAGTGGACCAGTGGCAAACGATCAGAGCACCTGGAAGCTAAATTTTGCGCTCGCTGTTGCCATCCTTGCCTTTGCGTCACTCAACTGCTTTAAGTCGTCATGGCCCCTCACGTCGAGACAGACTTCACGACGATACATGAAATTCCCGAGAGGCCCGCAACACCGCCCCCACGCGACAGAGCTTTGGAGATCCTGAAGTTGTGCACAGTACCCGACATCTTCCGCACCGTAGGATATTACATAAATCCCGAAATGGTTGCTAGAGTGAACGGTGTGGTCATCTTCAACATAGAAGGTAGGTGCCTAATCTCTCTGGTGGGTTTTCTCGAGAAGTCACATGCTTCGGAAGGATCAATCGCGTATGAGTCTAGCCGCTGGGCAGCGTTCTTGAGGTTCCCGAAAGCGAATTCGATTGGAGTACAGCGAGGGACTTGCATCCCCAACGAATGACGTATCGGTCCAGTTTTGAAACGTACGGAACAGACGAGCGCTAGAATAGCCTGTGACGTAATTTTTGCATGTTCTCCCCAGGTGAGCCAGCGCCGTGGTTCGTGGATCTCAAGAACGGCTCCGGATGTTTCGGGCAGGGCGTTTGTCCACACCCACCGGATTTGGAGTTGTTCATGACTTCGGAAGTTTTCCTGCAGCTATTCAAAGGCGAAATCAACCCAAAACTCGCCTTTATTTTCGGTTATTTCCGTCTGAGCGGCAGCATCTTCTGCGCGATCCGTCTCGAGAGCCTCATGTGGGCTGTGAGAGAGTACTACGGACTGATTTAGGACTACCGAAGATTTTACTCGTACCGCTTTAATTTACCGCACGTCTGTGATGGCAATAACACTGTGATACTACAAACGTCTCTTCAATCGAAAAAAGCGATCGATGACTGTCTCTTGATAGCGTCAGCCTCCCGTCCGCCCGTGCAACCGCCCCGCACCGCGAAAGCCTACTCCGGTTACGAAATACTGACTTTGCATCCCGGTCTAACACAGAGAAGCGCGCCCGAAAGAATCGAGCGATCACCGTGGACATCACTGAAGCAGACAAACATTGGAACTCTTGTGGGAAGCTCAAGGGAGCGTGATGATCGCAAACCAAGTCAAAGTTCGGGCAAGGTTTAGGCCCATGAATGCGACGAGCTCGAAACTGTCAGAGCAGATTTATTTAAATGAAAAAAAAGAGATAGTGGAAGGAGTCTCGCCACCTTGTAAATATGAATCCTAGCTTTCGAATAAAAAATTCACAGAGACTCACTCGCAATGATTCAGATCGAGCCAGAGCAAGAATTTCCTAACGACACTTTGGATAATAATCGACCGCAACGCCGACGTGCCCCGCGAAAGGGAGGTGACCTTTCGATTTCGTACCGTCATTCTCAGCTTTCGTGGGGCAGGAATCCCAACGGTCGAGTGAAGTCGATCTTGCTATTGACCGATCGAACGATTGAGCTGACACTTGATGGAACAAGGCACTTTATTCTCTTCAAGTCGTTCCACAGCCCGAATGGTCTGTCAAGAACCCTGAGAAGGATATAACGGACTGATTGCGAAACACATGATAGCACACCACAAACACCCCCGAACCTCTCGGGACAGCCGCGCTTTCGCTAACTTTTCTGGTTTTGCGGCAACCCTGGAGAAGTAAGGTCCCTTTCAGAAAACTTTTTCTAATGACACGCTACAAAAATAGTGTTATTGCTGAGGGTAACCCTCGAGTTGTAACTGCCATGTAAAACAGCTCCGTCTGAATAACTTTCCGAAGGATCTTTTCAATATCTATCCTAAGGTCAAGTACTGTGGTCCGTGGGAATGGGAATGCCGCGACATCTGGATCCGCTAGCAGACTTTCTCGCTGGTTTATGGAGGAAACTCCGAGCGAGAAGATGCGTCTGCTGGACACGAGGAGCTACCCACTCGCGAATGAGGCTCGCGAGCTGCAGTCTCCGAGAGGATATAGTCTGCGATGTTGAGACAAGTCCTGCGGATGAGCCAAAGGCGGATCGTGCGCCCCTTTAGTTTTGCGAGGCACTGGGCGAAGAACTTGTGCTTTCTGAACCAGCCCGGCGGTGCATGCCCCGCGAGTCTTCTGGAAACGTGTTTCGAAGCTCCGGGTGGCATATACGTATTTGTGGGGAACGCTGGGCTGCTGCCTCGGCTTCCGTGCCAATTATAGAAATTAGGCTTGCAATCTTCGAGCAACGTTCCGGCGTGTGGGGCAACCGAAGCATTATGCTCGGACGATTTCTGGTGGCTCTAGAAGGCCATCCGCAGTTTGTCCAGCGCTTCGGATCGTGACGTCTGTCCGAACTGAGCTTGGGTAATATAGAAGGGAAGATGTAACCGTCGAATACCTCAGTATCGTCGAGAGCTTCAAAAATCAGACGGATCGTTCCCGACTTTTTCAAAAAATACCTGGTCATTTTTTTAAGATGAGTTTGCTGCAGGGATGTCCGATAGCCGGCTCGCCGTTCTGAGAACGAGCGTGCTGCCCGGTGAGCTCGTCTCGATGATGGAAGTTCTCCGCAGGAATCCCCGAACGCGAAAATTCATGAGACTCTCGCAATCTACCCGGAGCAAGCCGACCCCTCGAAACATCCGCAGCGTGTCGTGAAAGTCAGCTATAAAGGGACTCCTACGGCGCGGCGGTGTGGTCACACTACTAATGGTTGGAATTGAGGACGGCTTCTACGCTAGTGTAAGAGTTTCGATATAGCGAAACCAACTGACACACCCCGACACGAAGACCGCACACACCGGAGATCCGGGAAGTCTTCGTCACGATGGGGCAAGAGGCTCTGTCTCGTCGAGCGTGACCAAGAATTATGTCTAATTCGATGAGTCGAGTCCGGTCGTATTTGATCCATTGATCAGCATTGCCCTCCATCACGATCGGAGACTACACCATATTTCTTGCAAGTCGACGGGTTATGATTTTCATGACACCGAGATCGTGCGACTGTCCACTTGGTCAAAATCGACGATTGAATGCTACATCCGGGAGCCGGTGATGAAACGTCATCTTTTCACGGAGGCGAAGCTTGTCGCTGAATTCGTTCCTGATGGAACCTCGGGCGAATCGGTTGGGCTGACACGTCGAACACTTTTTTCCGAACCAAGCATCTTCCGAGCATGGGCAAGCATGCCACCAAGATGACCTACGGGAATGAGCTGCCGGTACAGAGACGGCAAATGATTGAGTTACCGATCTCTCACCATTGGATCGAAATTCGAAACCGATTCATCAAGGATTCGTTCGCGGGACCAATCGCCTTCTGGTAAGAACTGCTCCGAGCGATTCCGAATTCCGGTGACGGCGGAATCAGTCTGAACGCTCATGGCGAATGCGTGCTTAACATTCTTCTGACTGTTTCGGCTCAGCTGTTGGATCCGGAGTCCGTCGGGACCAAAGAAATAGATATCCCAGAGCAGACGAGAGCGAGTGTCAAGAACGGGATGCACAACGGGAGCTCATTGTCTTCCTCGTCTCGAGCTCGGCTGGACTCATTACGATCGATGACGATTCCGAGGTCCTGAATACTGAAACCTTGAGAACGGCCGCGCCATTAGTTCTCAGTGTAATCACGGTCGCTAGCGCTACCCTCTTTCCTCGGAATGAACACAAGCTACCGAGCTGAGGCTTCCGGGGATGCAAACGGAAGACTGAAAAAAAACTTTGATGTGTTGCGAAATGCGCGGCCCTGCAGAGCTGCCGAGAGACGTTCAGCTGTTAAATGGTTCGAATAATTGTCATTTAAAGTTGAAGCTTATCTGAGCCGCACAGACGCGTGAAATTCTCGCCCTCCGAGCTCCTGCAATCGCCCTCCCGCTCCTCGAGCTCGCCGGAGCTCGTTCCTACTTCGCACCGGTATGGGTCGCTCTCAAGATTCGGTGTCGTGCAGATAGAGGCGAATGGCTTCACCCATGCATAGAGCAAGTGCAAGTCCACCAAAAGCATCAAATAACTCATCGCGAAGAGAATCAGCTCCGCTCAGCGCTCGGCTCATGAACAACAACAAGAGTCTGCGGACCGCTTCCTCTAGGTCCGCGGTTCAGCCGGCCCAACATAAGAACCCGCAAATTGTTCGATGCGCTCCCATTTTCACGCGCGTCTGTCTCCCTTCGGGTAGACCACACAGTGCAAAGCGGACTCCCCTGGACTTCCCTTCCGTAGAAGACGGCAGAGGGACACCCGCGGTCCTCGAGCGATTCGGAGTTCTAATGACCATGAAATATTCAAAATTTATCCTTACAGAGTGAATCATCTATATCGGCCAGTCCCAGAATGGGTCTTCTCTTGCCAGAGAATGGGATTGCGCGGAGATATCTTGACACGAAGAATCCGAGAATTGCGCAATCGAAATACGATTTCACCATTCTTGCTGCCTGCTGCAAGCTTCACGCTTCATGCTGCTGCCTCAGAACGCAGCGCATTCCCATGAAGCCTTTAGGATTATTACGAAACGCGCGCTTCCAGGAATTACTGGCTGCGAAATCAAAGAATGAACAATTTGGTCTACCCCGCAGCAGCGAAGGCGAAGCTCAATGAGGGCATCTCTCGGAGGAAAACATTGACTTGTCTGTACGGATAAGCGTTCATCATCGGAGCTTCAAAAATGCGGGGTATTCCGAATTGGTCGAGTCTATGGGGAGCAAATGTCTGACGAATTCATTTATCACCACCTAGCTGAAGAATTTAATATGAGAAGGCTCTGGACGCTGCTTCGTTGATAGGGCTCATGAAGCATGGAATTCAATAACGACCATCGTCAATCGCGCAGGTACAGCAAGGGGTGAGGTGATGGGTCAGCCGATCGATTCGACAGCTCTGTCATCAGATGCTTGCAGTGAAAGCGCTCTGCCCGAGGCGCAGATGCTCCCGAATGAATGAATCGACAGGAAGCGAGTTCCCCACATTTTCCCGGATCCCAGAAAAGTTCGGAAGTCCTCCATTGCGATTATTTTCACGAATTTATTCCATACGCCTGGAGGCGGCATCGGTTTCCTCTAGCGTCTCTTGTCTAGGATCTCTCCTTAGAGCAAGACTCTCGGATCAGGAGTTCGGGCGGAGCAAAGCTTCGAGTTCTCTCTCTGTGCGTTCCCGATAATGTTCGATGATGGGCTTCCTGCAAACTTTCATCGAAGCCGTCACAAAGCCCGTCTCGGGTGTCCAAGGCGTCGGACATAGAACAGCTGTCGACGGAGTTTCTTTGAAAGAGAGCTGTTTGGAGAGACAGTGTCTTTTGAGCGCTAATATAACCTCACGCCTCACTGTGTGATTCTCACAGAGCTCGTCGATACTCCCGCGGATTCCCGATCGACGAGCGAGTTCCTCCAGCTCTGCTCTGTTGGGGTTCACGAGAGCCACCAGCCGACCCGATTTCGGGTCACCGTAAACACATATATTCTCTATGAGAACACAAGTTTTCAGATCAGCTTCCACTTTGCCCAGAGCGATGTATTCGCCTGTTGGGCCTTTGAAGAGGTCTTTCTTCCTGTCGATGATCCGAATTTCCCCTTGCTCTGTCATTTCCCCGATGTCACCTGTTCTGAGATATCGAATCCCGTCTATGACTACAATGCTTTGTTCTGTGAGCTGAGGGTTGTTCAGATAGGCTTTCGCTACGACGCTTCCTCCGGCGAGAATTTCTCCTCTCGGTCTGGGTTTATCCCGTGGATCGTAACCACCCTCGGGCCACGGTTCCAGCCTCACGTAAATATTTCTCAGAGGCGCCCCGCACACAGAGGGAGTCATGGCACCGGGAAGTTGTATTGATATCGCTGCCGCAGTTTCAGTCATCCCATAGCCGCATAGGATATTGCGACAGAGACAAGCTCGAGCAAAAACGTGTGAATCTTCGGAAACCTGCGCGGAGCCGATAACTATTCTTCGGAGCTTCCCACCCAGAATCATTTTGGCTTTGTTGAAAAGAATCGCGTCCAGAAGCGGAGTTCCGAACCCCAAGTGCATCCAATAGGTTTTGTAGCTCACAGCGTGGTTGAATAATCGCTGGAACACTTTTCCCCGTGAAGCGACTTTCTGCGTAATGGACTTTTTCATGCGGTCGAGGACGAGCGGAACCATTGGCATCATCTCCGGATTGAGGAGACTCAGATCCCCCTGTTGACCTTGAGCAATGGCGGATGATTGGTCTGTCAGGGTCAAAAGGGAGGAATATCCAATACGCATTCCCAGGCTGAGACTGATGAGCTCCATCGTTACTTCGAATATATGAGCCAGGGGCAGATACCCGGTGTACGTGCCTCCGACCATCTCCTGTAAGGATACGATTCTCGTGAGAAAGAGAGTTCACGACTCGGACGAGAGCCTCATGAGACCATTCGGTCGAAGTATTGATGGGGCACTCGATTCGAAGAACAACCGACATGCTGAGAGGGCATTCGTCGAGAAGCTAAGTGACCGGTATTCCCATCTTAGGTGGGATCCCGGTCGTCCGGGCAAGGAGGACAATGATTACGCGAAACTCGATTGGGACGTAGCCAGCCAAGGATCGTCGTCACCCCTCACCTCGTCGACAACGACCAAGAAGCCTCTGATCACGGTGAGTATGTTGTCATGTGTGAGTTCCACTCCTTTTGGCGTTCCAGTGGAACCGCTTGTGTACATAATGATCGCCACATCGTCTGATGACGGGCCGGGGATTTTGTCTGCCAAGGAGATCAAGATTGAGTTGGCCTTCCGCCTTGAGGTATCGCAGTTTAGTTTTCTCAATCACAGTTTCTGTGAATTGATCGAGCTCGAATCATGGGACTGATTGCATCCGGAAGATTCCTGCCTTGAGGTCGATCAAGCCCCGGATTTGTAATGCGAGCATACTCGTTGCGCTAACCGTAGGAAGCTCGACGACCCATCGATTCAAAGTCGCTGAAGGATGAAACTGTGATTTCCGAGGACTTCCTGTCCCCTCTCCGCCTCTTGCTCGAAGTGGACGGTGCGCTCTCGAGGTAGATCAAGTGTTTGATGTGCTCGAGTCGAGACAAGTTGTCCAAGACCACATCAATCAGATTTTCACTGATGATGACAACTCCAGCCTGAAACATCAGACTCTCATAGGTCAATCCCCCGCCGGATACTTGGCTGGAGAGGGTGCAGGCTATCGCCGCTCGGGCTTCCGGCTTTCGCCTGCCCCCCCACCTCACCCCTGTCCCTTTTACTCCAGGACTGGGCCCGACTCGCGTTCCTGTCCAGAGCATGAGCGATGTAAGGAGTGAACCATGATTGAGCTTACCTCGGAGTCATTCAGTCCAAAAATTATTCCGCTTTCGCCCAAGTTCGCGTAAAGAGTCACAACTGTGATATTCGACTTGAATGCGGCGAGTGCGCTCAGGAGCCATTCTTGCCTGGTTTCGGCGAGTATGCAGACTCTGGATTTTGACAGAAGACCGAGCTGACGGAACGATGAGGCAAGGAACCTGACTCGGCGATCGACCTCCTCAAAACTCGCCCAGCGATAGGATCCTAGATTAAGCTTAAGGGATTCTCATTCGTTAGAGAAATTTTCTTCAATCTCGCACGGATGAGGCATGACGCATCCCAGGAACCCCTCCACCTAACAACGTTGGCTTCGCGTCGTAGCTACGAGTAATCGAATTCACCTCCGGTTTCACTGGGCCCGGATCTCCCCACCGGTCCAAAAATTGGCTCTCCGAATCGTCATGAGAATCCTTGATAGCGCGTCCCGTGACGCACTATCGGGATCCCGTCAGAGGGAGAATTTTGAGATCCTGTCTAGATGAGAATCTTGGAGAGCGGCCATCCCCTCCATTGTAGATCCACTTCGTTCTGAAGTTCTCAGTGGAGACGATTTCAGGCTCGAGCTGAGGCAGAAGACGTCTCCAGCTAGGCGCGGAGATTGGCAACGTCGAAGAGGCATTCGACGGGGGCGAGAAACGGCGGGAAAAACCTCTGTCTTGTCAACGGGCCCAGCGATCGGAGAACCTTACTGTAGGCATGGATGTTGAACATACATCTCACACCGTGCCGTCGAATCGGCATCGACTTTGACGGAGCCATCGCGGAGACTAATGACGAGTCGAAAACTTCCTCATGGGTCTCGAAATCGAGAGGGAGATCCGGAGACATCCCATAGCTAGAAACTTCGCCTGACCAGCTACGGCCTCGAATGGAAGAAATCGACTTCTGTTCTGTACGTAAAACTCACCTTTTGGACTATGCTCCCATCGGATTGGGTCTCATTGACAACTCCAAGATTTTCGCGGGAGCCCAACATGGAGCGGGTGCCGCCCCTTTTCACAGCGATTTGGAAAACGTCATCGATTGTTGTCGCGTCCGCTATGAGATGATCGAACATCGAGGGAGGACAAGTAGTTTCATATGGTCCCTCAGGAGCACCATTTTTAGAGATACTGAAGAGCATCGAGCTGTGGAGTTGACCACATTCAGGCGGGAAACTCTGGGGCAGCGAATGCGAAAGCAATTCATTGAGTAAGGCATCGAGCATAATTCTACGAAAAACTTTTCCTACGGATGACTCACCGCAACGGCCATTGTCTCCAAGGTTTCTGTACAATAGTATACAAAGGCAGCGTGACGACATCGTAGAAGAACCCGAAAACTCTCGCACAAACCAAAACTACAATGTCTGCCATCGAGATCCACTGGACTTGTCGAAATTTTCTGGAAGACGTCTGCACAGCATAACTCAACCGCCCCACCTAGCAAAGCTTCGCGTGCCGAGGCATCTTTTTCCGGTCGCAGCTGCAATAGACACGGAATCAGACGTTGTTTGAAACTGCCTCGATTTAGGCAAATGAGTGTAGCTGAAAGGTCACGTCATCCCGATGAGCGCTGTTCAGCTTCGGAGAAGACACGTGACATCGATGGGCTGCCTGCGTGTAGAGCGTCCGTGTCAAGGGGCACCTCGAGGTTTACCGACAAAGTTTCGGGTTCGAATTGCTCTCAACGGTTCAATCGCGAGAGTCGTCTTTCACCACATTCCTTCCACCAGGCCATCATCCGGGTGAAAGTCTTCGAGTCGGCGATGGGGCAATTTTTTCCGATCATTGATTAAGGTCTCTCAAGAACTGGCCCAGGAAGCGTCCGCGGCAGATGTCGACATAAAGACTGATATTCCGCACAAATCATGGCTAAGTCTCGCGATCCCATATCAATGCCCCGCGGATCTCCTCCGCTTAGAGCGGTGGACGCGCGTCCGTGGAGCGGTGCCTGGAGCTCAGGAGGATTGCTGGTAGCTCGGGCCCTCTCCTCCGTGCTCCGTTCAGGAAAATGCCTCGAAAGCTCTCATCCGCCCAGGTAACGTGTGATCGATTGGGCTCATAGCTCGTGTACGAGAATAGAACCACGGGAGCGAACGTCTGTGCAGACGTTATCACGAATACGGGGTCCGCGAAGCCCAGTGGTTATGTCGAAAAGCCGATTTTCAACGAAGAGAGACGAAACAAGTCTGCCAGCCAGATTGACTTGGCGAGCAGCCTTTACGTTGAAGATACGGCCTCTGGTGCTCGATGTTGGAGGCTGATCAAGAGAGCTTCATCATTCAAAAGGTATGTAGGGGTGGATCTGGATCGGATTGACCATCAATCCAGCATCAGGGCTCCCGACTCGGTACTCAGCATAGGCTGCATTCATGAGTTTTTCCGAGACTCAGGACACCGTATCTTTTTAGGCAGTCATCCTCATAAGACACGTTCGCCTACTCGCCGAATTCTCGGAGGATAGCATCTTATAAGGATTCATCAGACGCGCCGAGGAGAATCAATCGCGCGAAGGAGATATATAAGAAATAATAGACAAGTACGATCTTCGCAGGGGTGGTTGGAGTTGGATTTCTTGATTGGACGAACTGCCGGTAGCGAGGTTTTCCTTAGCCTGGCCACGATTTGTCTGCATTAACAAATCGAGGCTTCAGTTTTCGGTATCGAGAGGTGAACGGATACTACCCTGACCGAAGGGTGCCTCTTTCTGAATTCTTGACCGTTCCAACTTCGAGGCGATATTGTCATGAACTCACATGAAGTAGGTGTTGAGCAAGCCTCAGCAACGGGGATCTGAGGGGGGAATTTAACTCATATAATGTGGGACAACTTCGTTGTCCTGAATTAAATTGTCATCTACGGCTAAGAAGAGAAAATGATATACCTCCGGTTTAATGATGAACCGGAGTGATAGCGCATGCCATTGCGCTCCTGTCACTCGGGGTCAGAAGAATCGCGAGCACGAATTCTGGACCGACGGAAATTCTTGGCACAGAGAGAACTTGGTCATCTTGCTTGATTCCCCCGAACGCTCGAAGTGGGACCCCCCTCGTTGCCGCTCCCTTCCCGGAAATTCTCCAGAGGATTCACAGCTTTGCGTGACTTTAGCGATCCGGCCGGATGCTCGGTCGAAGGGGATCGACGGAAGCCTCCTGACCGGGATTTTTTCTGCGTTCTCGGAGAGCGGATTGGGGGGCTGATCTACAAAACCAGTGTAGGTCGCAAGACTCACTTAGAGCCATGTTGTGCATTCGAAACTCCTTGAGGATGAAACTCTCCCGCACATGGGAATACAGTGAAAGCTCGTTATAACGACCCCCATTACAACGAATTTCTCGGTACAACGCACAAGGAATTTCTCCTGCTTTGGCCAGCTCGCCATAGGGATAGTGTTGAGTGGCCTTCGTTACAGCGGGATTTCGGTACAACGAACCAGTTTCGTCGGTCCCTTCGTGTTCGTAGTAACGAGCTTTCACTGTAGATGATATTATGAGGGTCTTGTTCCGAAGGCTAGAGCTTCAAATATATTGAAAATCTCGAGTAATTCCACTCCCAGCGCGCACTCAGGCTCTCCTCCGAGGACTTGAAGGTCACAAAGGTCACACCGATTCGCCCAAGCAGGCAAAAGGGGAGGGGGAAGAAAGGAATGGAAGGAATGAAGAAATGAGGATTTTTTAGAGAAGCCCAACTCCGATGTAAGCCCAAGTCTCCGAAACCGAAGTCGACCCTCCAATTAATCCCGCTCTCTCTAGGACCTAGGAGACCCCTCCGTATGAGACCCGGCGATAAGCTAGCGGATTCGGGCGGCTCCTCGATGCGAATTCCCATACCTAGAGGAGTGATGACCAAGAGTACTACGGGTCGCGGTGAATTTCGGCACTTTGCGGCGTGCCCCGAAGCGCTATACCCTCGTCGTCGTCGATTCCGCCCGAGGATAGAATCCTACTCTCAGGAATTCACCAGCTAAGCGAATAATCACGAGTCTGACTTCAATCATCGAGGCGTAGAGTATCACTACTAGCTCCGAGACTGTGAAGAACAGGATCTGATTTCTCCCGGTGCTAGCGGGGAATGATAACGATCACGATCGCCCTTTGGATCTTCGCACGGTCCGCTCGGGAATGCGATTTTTGCAGAATGAATCACAAAGTGACAGATATGGGCTAAATCTTTCATTCGCCTCATTCATCGAGGTATTCCAGAAAAGGCTCCTGTCCCTCCCCGCGGACATGGGCCTTTCCTGAGCAGCAGCGATGACGGAAAAAAGTTTGGACCTCTCTACAAATCCTTCCTCGACGATTTCAGATGATTGGCGTCCTGCCAGCTTCAATCGGGAGCGTTGCGGAACCCAGTCCGAATGTCAAAGGCGGCAATCACGGGACAGCTGTCAGCGTACTCCAGAAGACACTTGCGAACTTGCGAAGTACGCCCCCGGAATCAACCATTTGAGCGACTTGAATCTCGGGTAACTCTAATGGCGAGTAATCTCGGGCGTCTCACCGAAAGGGACTCACAACCTTTCCTGGGCTCACTTCATGGGATGGGACTGATGATTCATGAGAACCACGACTTGGACGATACATACGTAACCATATGTTAACCCGTTTATTCGATGTTAATCTCGATTACATGTTTGAACTATTCATCAGCATCTAGCCAACAGCAACTTAAGTACGTGGAACGTCGCGGTTTCGGGCGCGGACGTCGGTATCGACTTCTCACTAAATGATAGTCATTGCTTTGGATTGGATCCCAGTGGGAGCCCAGTACAGGATCTACTCGGATTCCGCGTACATTCGGTCTATGTCGCTCCTGTAGAAGTCCTGGATGATGTTTCGTCGGATTTTCAGTGCTGCCGTGACGAGTCCGGTGTCTGGGAGCCACTGCTCGCTGCACAACTTCACCTTCGAATCAAAAAAGCGCCCTCAGGAATCTCGTGTGTCAGGTCATTACGCCTCCTCTTTCAACGAGGTGGATGAGGTCATCGGATCTTACCTTTGTTGGGATTTCCATTTTCTGCAGCTTGCACTTCTTCCCGTGATTTGTGATGAGCTCGGTGACGGCTCGTACAATGTCTTGGTCCCTACAGATCTCGGTAAATGTACATTTTCTCTTACCGAGACTCGCCGCCAACTGGTCCAATGCGCTTTCATTGGGGGAAATCAGAGCGATCAGGAATGTTTGGAACGAGTTGCCGTATACACATATATTCTCCACGAGAGGACAAGTCTTCAATTCCGATTCCACCTTGCCGAGCGATATGTATTCTCCGAATTGCAGCTTGACGAGATCTTTCTTACGATCGATTATTTTTAGAGTTCCATCGGGGTGAAGTTCCGCGACGTCGCCCGTGTAGAGCCACCGAATACCGTCCTCGCCGGTCACGAAGGTCTCCGCTGTGAGTTTCTCGTTTTTATAATAGCCTTTGGTAACGGTTGCGCCTCCGACTAGTATTTCACCTCGAGGGAAGGGTTTGTCTTTCACGCTGTAGTTGCCCTCGGTCCAGTCGATCAACTTGACGACGTCCCCGTAGAGCGGCGGTCCGACTCTCCCGACGCTACGGTCAGAGACCTCCATGAGGGTTGCCCCAGCAGTGGTTTCCGTGAGACCATAGCCCTGCAGCAGCGAAACGTCGAGGCAAGCTTTTATGAAGGAGTGAGTGTCGGCCGAAAGTGGGGCTGAGCCAGCTGTGATAACCTGTAAGTTTCCTCCCACTATGGATTTGACTTTCTTGAAAATAAGCCGGTTCAAGATTGGCGTATTGAAACCCCAACTGGTCCACCAGAGTTTGTAGCTGATTGCGAACTCTATGAAAGTTTTGAAGACGATCCCTTTTTGTGCGGCGCCCTCTATGACGCTCTTCCGAATTCGGTCCAAAACGAGGGGAACGCAAGAGATGATATGTGGTTTCAAAACTCGGGCGTCTCCCAAGTCACCCTCTCTGATCGCAGTGGATTTATCTGTTAGCGTCAGTGGCGAAGAATAGCCGATGCGCATTCCCTTCGCAATGCAAGTCAATTCTACGGTTATTTCGAATATGTGCGCCAAGGGAAGGTAGGCGATGTAGGTGTCGTCGGCTCTCAGCTGCGAAAAGAAGGTGGGAGACCGGCATTAGGTATGACTTTTCGATTCAGAGCGAAGTTCCCGTTAGGCCGATGCCTAGTGACAGGACGCGAAGACGACGGAGACTCTTTCGACGCTTCTGCACTCGCAATACGAATTCGGTCAAGGTGACTGAAGTTCTTCTATGTATATTAGATTACTCACCTGGCACAAGGCTGTCTGAAAACCTTTGGCGGTCGCCAAGATATTATTGTTCGTTATGATCACAGCTTTTGGTACTCCAGTGGAGCCACTCGTATACATAATGATGGCGGCATCCTCGCTCTGGGCCTCCCCACCTGGAAATAGCATTTCAAAATGTTCCTCTCTCGACGAAAATATAGGATTGGGAACGATTCTTTTTTAAACATACGCATCGCGGAGCTCACCAACGAGTGCGGGATCAGCAGATTTCCCGAGATCTTCCAACTGAGAGAATGGGATCAGGCGAAGGCCCTCTCTCGGGGCGGCGGGTTTGGGCGTTTTTTTGTAGGGGCATTCCATGTAAATTATGGTGTTGATTCTCGGCACAGATTCGATGAATGAAAGTATTTTGGGCAGCAATTCCGAGGTGGTGACCAGGTGCGTGATCTCGGTTTCGTTGAGACCTGGAAGGGATTCCGCATCAGCTACGGCGACGTGGGGGACGGTCGTTGATTGGAAAAGGTCTACGGTTTATCCAGAGAATACCACCCATGAAGGAAAATCAGCTAGATATTGAGGCATTTTCGTGACACCACTGGCATGGGTACCTTCGAAACCTATATACTAGTATACCATGGCGCCCGATCTTCTTCATATATGCATCATGATCATCATTCATCATTTATATTATTATTTATATCATAATATAATATTTATAAATAGCCCATTTGAAGTAATTATCCTCATGTCTTCAGATAGCCGATAGAATTCAGATGTTTGCTCACCGTGTATGAGACCGTCGTCTCCGAGGTTCGAGTAGAGTGTCACTAAAGGAAAATTGTTCCGGAAACAAGCTTGAGCCGTCAGCATCCATTCCATTCTAGTTTCCGCTAAGACACAGACGTTCTGTTTCGGTCGAAGGCCGAGCGATAGAAGTCCGCGACCCACCAGTTCAACCTTTGCCTCATATTTGCGGTACGTTATCCACTCGTATTCGCCGAGTACCAGCTAGAATTGATCAAGTTCATGATTGGCTTAGGTCTTCCAGTTTTTTTGATCATCTGACTCCTCGGAATGTCAGGAGGAGGCTTGAGGAGGGGGCCTCTTGCGGCAGCATGCTTGATCGATGAGAATGGGAGAGTCCTGCACAAAAATACCTTCTTGAAGACTCTTCCGTCTGCTTGCGCTTGGTTGTCCTCTCCGAGCTGTTGCCGAGTCCCGATACCTTTTGTGTCGGGAAACTCACTGAATACTCTACGCATGAGCTGATCAACTGTCTTGATACCGTCGAATGTCTCCAAGTCGATTCTGTGATGGGTCCGTTTCAAAGGTCCCCATTCTGGTGCTCCCTTTAAAGGTCTACTGTACACAAGGTCCCTGTCGGAGAAGAAAAAGTATCCATCAGGTTTTCATACAATACGTTCGATGAGTAGACGAGGAAAGTTAGAATAAGGAGCAGCTTATCAGTGGCGTGGGGACCTAGCGGGAATCGTAAGGGAATGGAGGACAATCAGATCTGAATACTCCCTCTGAAGAATTGGTTCTGAAAGCTCTTCGTAGGATACGCGTGGGAGGTTCGACGGTGGGTTCTCCGCCTGATGCATTATCTAGTCATGCCCTCCAATATCGTGACAGGCTTCGACTGGCCGTGACATTCGCAACCGATCCACGTGGCGAACCTTGTGAACTAGCTTGTATAAGTTTCGGGTATCTATCGCGCAAGCGGCATATAGATTTCCGGGCTCAGCCGAAGCAGGTCCCAAGCCGCCACGACTTCTGAAATGACGACGCCGAAGTCGGCGTCGCGTCGTGTCCGAGGAGACAGTATCGAGGAGCCCCATCCTGAATTCGTCGGACACCCTGCGATTCAACTTCTCGTAACGTTGCCTCTCAGGTTTTGATCGGATACTTCGTGCACGGAAACTTGGATCAGGCATGAATATTTCACTCTCCTCACTAATGCGGAGTTTCACGTACTAATAAACCTGCTTCGATTCTTGATGGATCAGAGATAAGCACATCGGTCTCAAATTAGACGCAAAAGTATTTCAAGTTCTCATCCAAGAATTATGGGCTGATTTATTGCAGTAGCCATAAGAGGGTTGAATATGCTGTGATTCCGCCTCGCTCATCCGCCGTGCTCTTTAGACGATCGGATATGTCGCATTTCCGCTCGATATTTCGCAGATGGACGCACCCATTCTGCTCCATGTTCTGGTCTGTGTTTTTGAAGAATTTCAGATTCAAAAGGGAGCTGATCTCATTATTCGTTTCGCATCATTACCCATCACAGCCAGCAGATTCACCAGCTTATATATACTATGAGAATAAACGAGATTCAGATTTTCGGACATTTGAAAGAGGGGGAAGTTCTGGAAGTTCCGGACAAGTCGATTTCTCGAACTTCGAGCAATACCGGTGAATCGAGCGCTTTTCCACCGAGATTAGAGCTTCCGTCGAGGGAAGAAAGAGCGCTCGGGAAGATTCCGAGAAAGAGATGCTTGGGTGAAAGATCATTCAAGAGTCGTTTATGACCAATCGGAACCTCGATAGTTCTCTCACTCAGATCACGAGGATGGACGGACCTCTCACGGCATGCCGTCTTCCGCCTTTTCTCCCGCGATGGAATCGGAAGCTGTGCCATCACATACTGTGGGTTCATCCCGCTTATCGAACCCCCACTGACGATAGAAATACATTCGGAGAAGAGACTGGCTTCCGGAGTGTCTTCGAGCTGGTGCCCGCGTTCAAAAGTCGTCGGGGCCATTCGGGTCATAAGTTGTAAGGCATCGAGTGACTCGGATGTGTAGAGGGGAAGAGTTCGACATCGAGCGGAGACCAATCGCAATCGTGGTAGATGTGAAGGGATAGATGGCTGCCTGTCTTCGAGCCCGGCTGCTAGGTGACCATTACTACCCTTGTTAGTTCGGAGAAATCAGAGCACCGAGGACTCGCATGAGCTCATGACATGGGACTGTTTTGGTTTATTCATACTCCTTTCCTAACAAGAGCGCCGCGGCGCGTGTTCGGAACGCTATGCCGCGAGCCTAACACCGGCCGAATCCTCAACACTGATCAGAGCCGATTCAAGAAGGCCGGGTCCGGAAGATATCAGAGAAGCTGTTGGCTCCCTGCCCACGACAACGCATAGTTGCACGATCATGCCCAAATCATCGGTGGGATATTCGGAATCAGTTCATTGAGCTCCTCGCCCGTTCGGAGCAGCAGTTCCAACCAACGTCGAGTCGTTTGCCGGACAAATGACGAACATGAGCGAAGTGAATCTCATGGGATCATATCCGCAAGTGTTCTGATCTGATTCGACAGAGTCGAGAGACGAAATGCTGTCACAACTGAGCATTCTCGTGAGCCGCGAATCGAGGAGATGGGCTATGGTCGAGCTTGAAGCCGGGAGAAAGCTTTCCCTCAACAGCGACTTGAAGCTGATGGCTATAAGGAAGTATGTGAACCCCTTCCGCCTTTACGAATTCATCATGCGCCTCGTCATTGTCACTGCGGTTGGCGGAAAAAAACGGCGCACAGTGGTCCGGCGGTGGTCGATTTTTAGCTCCCCAGTCGTCCCGCCCGATGTCTTTTTTTTGGGTTCCTGGTCCCCCAACATCACGAAAAACGCCATTGTCACTTGCCCCTTTTGGCAAATGAAGGAGATCCGAGCCTGTCTACCTTGGATCGATAAATAGGGGAAAAATGATTTTCGTTTCTCGATGTTTTATCTCAAAAAGGATTGATCGCTTAGAGTCGATCGGAAACCCCATCGAAAGCTCTCGGCGAGAGCGTTCCCCGCACGCTCTCATCGAGTCCACATGACCATGCGCTCATATAGTATCCGCTGGATTCTGAGGTCTAAGAATGAAATAGACGAAATTGCCGATTTATCTTCGAGAAAACGCTGTGTTGGGAGGGAACTGTTCGCCTTCGGGGAGTTACAAGGAGATCCGGAAGCTTTCCAGGAACAGAATCGGGAATTCTTCTAGGAGATCATTCATTCGATTCCTTAGAGAAAAAAGTGAAGCGAAAGGCGTCGAAGATCATAATCAGGTTTCATTGGCTTAAACTAAACCTCGATCAGATTTTTTTTAGATGAAAAATCGAGAAACGAAAATCATTTTTCCCTCATATGTATATCGATCCAAGGCTTCCCGGATAGCCATAAGCTTCAAGTCGCTTGGGAGCTGGGGAGCTGAAACTTCGCTAAATCCGCCGGACCACTGCGCGGCGCTCGGCATCATCATTGCAATGCCGTCATTCGCGGTACCTGTATAACGCTCGGCGTGCCTCAACATCATCATGATGAGACTTGCCAAGTTCCAAAAGAAGAATGTAGAGCCTGATCCCAGAGTTACACCCCTCGAAATCTGCGCCATGTCCGATGGTGAGACCTGCCGTGTCTCTCCGAGATCGTTCTCGTTTGCTGTGCTAATTGTGAGGAATGAATCACTTCGAGAAGTGCCACTTCCGATAATCGTTTACCGATTCCGTCGATATGGATCTACATCATTCTCGGTGTAGACAGGCTCGACGAATTCGCGATCGAGGCGCCTATCGCCTCCATCGCATCGCGGGCTTTAAGCGCCTGTTGAAAGAGCGACTCGAGGGTAGGGTACACTATATTCCGCTGATATTTTCTCACTCTATGGGTGAATGTAAGTCCGGGTTCGGAAGGACCCGAGGAGCGAAAAATATATGCAATCGAGTGCGGTTGTAGTGTTCCGCTACGTCGAGAACGCTCTTTTGTCGACGTCGAAGCTTTTCTCGCGAGTATAATCCACGACGAAGGAAAACCTGAGATTTTTTGCGGCTCAAAGTCGTTCATCCAAAGGAAACGGTGATGAACTTTTTGTTTGCATCCAGGAAATTCGGCGTTATCCATTCTTCGATTTGAGCTTTCCAGCGCACTCAGTTCTATCGAAATCCGGGAAGACCGTATCGTGCGGGACCAAAGTCTCTGACTCCATATCTATAGATATGTATGCCAACATACGTGCACAGTTGCTGCCAGGGCCGACAGATCAGGGCGTAGACGGGAAGTGTGACCAGATCGAATATCGACGACGCCGCTATGAAAGCGGCTCGGGATATCTTTTCCGCGACAGTGGCACCGAAACTTCGAGGAAGCATTCTCGCAGGTATTTCTCCGGAAACGAGAACCCCAAGTCGATATTTCACAAAGGGAATCAATCAGCACTCGATGACTCTGAAGCCAAGCGGACAAAGACAGCTGTTGCAAGGGATCGGTCAGACCCTCTGTCAATGTGTTTGAGGGGCCGACCGTCTCTCGGTCCGTACGCTTGTTCCTCAGAGGGCTGTCGCGCACTTTCTCTCTCTCTCGCTTGCTAGTTTACTTTCTGAGGACAGCCACGCGTCTGCAGCTAAATCTGACTGCACAACCATAATAATCAGCAAACAAAGTATTTAGGCGAGAGGGTTCGATCTCGAGCATGCAGCTGGCTCCACGAGCTGCTCGAATGGGAACCACGCTGAAATCTGATCGGAGGGAGACGAGCTTATGACGCTGACTGGCCGCCATCTCTCTGAGTGTGAATAACCCTACCCGATGGATTACTCTTGATTCCTGCATTAAGCAGCCATTCTGGAAACTCTGAGGGAGTCTCATGGGAGCGATTCCGAAAAGCCTTGAGGAGCTTTGATGGAGAAAACCGAGGCACGGAATTCGAGATGGAGACGTATTTTTTGAGTTGGACAGGATCCTCCGAGGAGGACAGGCAGATGCTTGAATCCTCTTCAAAGTCCATGAAACAAGCCGATATGCTCTTGTGATCTCAAATGATGTACCCTCGTACCCTGTGGGCTGATCGAGACGTGAGACTCGACCTGGATCTTGATCAGTTGGATAGCTCATCCTTCGTAAGATTTCATAAAACTTTAGGACACCGGAACTTTGAGGAAGCAGTTGTAAAGAGCACTGTTCTCGATCCCTTCACAGCACAGCTTATCAGCATTCGATGTTGAAAGTCATGTCGTAAGTCGTAAATCACTCAGGCTCAGATTAAAACCTCGAATTGGGATAATCAGGAAGAGCTCACAAAGTCATGATCTGTGAGAGATATTCGACAATCAAGGTCAAAGTCATTCATGAGGAGCTGCGTTGGGTGGAGTCCCAGTGAGATCAGGTTCATCGCATGAGTACTCTTCGATGAAAAGGCACGTTCCAATCTCGGGATCCCTTGCGCCATCTCTCTGATGAGTAATCGGATTGGGTGTGATATCGTGGAGCCCGCGGGAATTGAGACTTCGAAAATTTAGGATAGTTGTTGATTCCTTTTGGTAAATGAGTCGACGAGGAGGATCAGGGACCGAATTCCGTACTATCGAACCATTTAATAATTTAGATGATCCATCGTGAAATCCATAGACCGATGGTCGGCTAACATTCAATGATGCCTGATTTTCAAAGCTCTGAAAATTATCATGCCAAATCATAGAAAGAGGAAACATGAGATAACCGCGTCCTTCCAAGACGAAGTCTACAGAACCGTCCTGGCGAAGTGCGGTGGGATGAGCGATTCCTGTGAATCCAGAGATCGCCGTCTCCCACATTGACGGCGACAGGTCGAAACTCGGATCTTCCAGCGAAGATTCTGCATCATGTCTTTTGAAACATGTTGAAATTCCGCGATATATTCAGATAATTCTATCGAAGATGTTGATCGGCTCCGTTTGAAACTCGGGGAGAATTTTGAATGCGAAATCTTGAGCGAAAACTGAGCTCCCAACTCCTCCTTTGCGAATTTCGGCTGATTATGGGAAGACCGAATTTTCTGCTGAGGTACGGTGGACGATTTGCTGCTCCCACCTGATGGAGTCAGTCTAATCGATACGAAGCAAGCGAGGCAAGATGGGTTAATGAAATCGGTTGCATCAAGTTCGTCGGAAACACCGCCAGACAATTCATGTACTCGGCGATCCATTCCGACGAGTTATGGTCTCATGACCGTCGTAACACCACTCGCTGTCATCGATCGCCTTTCTGATCATGCATCTCTCGGACACCCGAGGTCTCGCATGTCAAGCTTGCATATTTCAACAGGTAAGCGTGACGGAATGGATGATACCGACATCGATACCCTGCTCCATGCCATGGCAGCTTGCAGTCACACGATGACTCAATATTGCTCAGAAAAACGACTTCATCGATTCCCTCAAAAACAGGCAGGTCACTGCAGGGTTATGACGTGACGACTTACTCCCTCCATGAGGCAGCCATCCCCCAGCGGATCTTCAAACGATTACGGCACGAAAACAAGGGTACCGATTTAATGATGTTCCATGTATCGAAAATTCTCGCCATGACCTTGGGATCACGACTCAATGGGTCTCAACGGTCTCCGAAATCTTCTCCTGTTTTTCCGTCCCAGTGAAAGGGAATGAACCAGTTCAGGAATCGACCTTTGCGCCGGAAACGCCAGGGGCATACGCATGGCCTTCAGAGGACGCATCGGTGGGGCACAGCGGGATCTCCCGGCTCCTCCGGTAAGGGGAGCGGCGAGAAACACAATGCTCGATCAAGTGCGGAGTAAATGCAGTCGGCGACACCATACGTCGCGCCTGGTGAATCCTTCTCGCTGACAGGAATATGATACACTCGAGAGGAGTACCATCGTTTCTCGTAAAGGTCACCGAGACGCAGGCCCACAATCTTGGGGAAATTTCCGACCCCTTCGACATCGACTGCGAAATGTCCTTCCTTAACTACCACAAGCTTTCTGGCTGAACTCCTTCGAAATTCGAAGCTCGAATTCACTGCTCCGATGCGCGACTCCGGAGTAGATAGCGAATTCAGCGCCGATAGTCGGAATGAGAGGTATCCCAAATCGTCGCTCAGAGGCGATCTGGGGTTACAGTTGTGATTTATGATAAGGAAAGACGATGAGTCGCTCTCTCCTGCCTGTCTCCTTCTTGTACATACTGCCGCATCCGAACGTCGCGTCGTGCCGGCGACCACGCACGCTAAGGCTGAGCACAATGGACCAACACGAGGATGTCCCAATAGCTAATCCTCAGTCCCGAACTTCTGAACTTTCGTACTGATTGGCGCTTCCTCAGGGACCGACGAAACGCATGGTAAAAACTTTCTAAACGAGATCTACGTGGGAGCGGGCTCTGAGTATTCCTCCCTACTCGAGGGATTTCCACGATCCGTGAAGATGATCTGTCCCAAATCATGGCCTAGGCCTAAAGCGTTGTGATCTTTAATCCTCTATCAGGTCGGCTCAGCGAGGCCTGACATTCAGTCTCGCATTTTTCCCGTCAACGATCACAGCAAATCCCATAATTGATCGGGAGCAATGAACAGTACAGTCCCTTTTGAGGTGAGCTCTCGTCTAACAGATTCGCTGTAGGTCGCTTCCGTCTCGGGGAGTTTATCTCGAGTTTCTCGAATTTTTGCGATTTCGGCAAATTCGAGCTTATCTCCTATGCGTTCGAGGTCGCAATCTCCTTACTCGCCCGAGATTGCTCGGTCTTGATGAAGCCTCTGTGCTACCTTCCTCTCCATCCTCCGTACGAATTCAAGTTGGTCGAGGGATTCCTAATTATGGGAGACCGTAGACTGCCCACAGATTGGTAGTACTGTACCATGGTTCCATCCTTGTCGTCAGGAGGAATTCATGAAGTATCTCATCATTTCGACGTTTCTGAAGGAAGCATGCTCAAAGCGGTTTAGAGTTAGGTTTAGAGATCAAGCGCGTGCCCCATTTTCGGGAAGGCCTCATGCGAGCGTGTTTTCCATACTACCCCACCGAGCCTCGAAAAGATGAAGCATAGAAATCTTGGGAACTCAACCGGAATCAACACAGAACAAGCGCGGGTGCTCTTATATAGCGTAACATTTATTTTAGCTCGATATAACAGATGTTCGGCTGCCTGTATTCAAGTTTGAAATCTGAGATGATCTCCTCTCCCACAAAGTATTGAAGTGGAATTGAAGTATTGAAGATTTTAGCATCATTTATCTCTCCATCTCCAAACCGTAGCTGTCACCGACTTTCCTCAAAATATGCATTATTCGTCGATTATCATTTTGTTCGGAAAGCCCAACTCGCTTGCTTGTCTTCTAGCGAGTCTAATCGCTCTGGTGAACGAACCTTAAAATCTCTCAATCCTTCGTCGGTCCTCCCGGCTCGGATGTCTTCGTGTAAGCTATGTACAAATTACACCTGGACACTGAGCGGGAAGCTCAGCTCCAGAGTAAGGAATCTCACTTTTTTCTTTAGAAAACGCCAGGCTGAACACTTGATAAAGACTCGATGAGGAGTTGATTTAGACTTCTCGACAATTTGACACCTATAATATCATCGACACGATGATGAGTCACCGGTTTTGCCTGATGTTTTTGAACCATTCTAGCTCTCAACTTTAGGGGAATACTTGAGGGAGCGGGACTCCCTAACCACACAGATATCACCTCGCTTCGGACTTCACGAATCCCTTCTTAAAGCGTCGTGACTTGCTCCCGGGGGAGAATCGAGACCTCGTAAGTAGCTCCCACTTTGATTTATGTCATTGAACCCTATCGAGAACATACGTTTTCGTTCGTGCCGACGAATGTATATTTATATATGTATATTGGGGAAGATATAAAATGAGCCGTCATAGGAGCAGAGAGAGGAATAGAGAAATCGAGAGAGGGTGACAGCAGCAAGCCGAGGAGGATAAAGTCCACGCCCCTACTCATTCCCTCCTCAATATTCGCAAGCTCAACATTTCAAAACCACAACGCCACAGCATCAGACACCGGGGTGAACCCGGGAGCCTTTCTTGTTCCTCGCGGGGAAAATTTGTAGTACTTTTTGAATTCTTCTTTTGTTTTTAAAATAAATTCCATCTTCATCGACAGCCCCCGCATTCCTCGAGCGAACTATCCGCCCGGACGAGGCTGGAGCCTATGTCGATTTCGAGTACATTTCATCGATATCTTTCTGGTAGTAGGTTGTGATTTGTTTCCGTCTAATTTTGAAAGCTGCCGTCACCAGACCAGAATCAGGCTGCCACGACTCGGAGCAGAGTTTGATCTTGGTCGGTATTTCCATTTTGTGGAGATTGCATTTCTTCGCGTGCTCCAGAATCTGTTGCGTGGCCGTTTTCTTGATGTCGGGATCTTCACACATTTCCTTGAATGTCAATCCTTCCTTGTTCATGCTGAGCGCCAGCTGCTCGAGTGCCTTCTCGCTGGGAGCAACGAGTGCGATTAGGTACGTGTGGAAGGAGCTTCCATGAACACAGATGTTTTCGATGATGGGGCAAGTTTTCATTTCGGCTTCGACTTTGCCGAGCGAGATGTACTCGCCGAACTGCAGTTTGACGAGGTCTTTCTTCCGATCGATGATTTTCAGCGTACCGTTCGGATACATCTCCGCGACATCGCCCGTATAGAACCATCGCTTGCCGTTTTCCACTTTGAAGCATTCCCGGGTGAGAGCCTCGTTCTTGTAGTAGCCCTTGGAAACAGTCGAGCCTCCGACGACGATTTCGCCTCGGGGATGCGGCAAATCAGTACTGAAATAGCCGGCTTCAGGCCAGTCCACCAGACGCAAAGTGGTTCCCGCCAACGGAGAGCCCACGCGACCGAGACTCATGTCGCTCAGTTCCATAACGGTTGCACCAGCCGAAGTCTCCGTTAAGCCGTAACCCTGTATTAGGTCACAGCCGAGGCAAGCTTTGATGAACGCGTGCGTATCGGCGGACAAAGGAGCGGAGCCCGTCGCGACGACCTTGATACGGCCTCCGAGGAGGGCTTTCATCTTGTTGAATACAAGCAGGTCGAGAATCGGCGTGTCGTAGCCGTATCGTTGCCAGAAGGCTTTGTAGGTGACGACGTGCCGGAAGAACATCTTGGAGAACAATCCCTTGGATTCGGCGACCTCCGTGACACTCTTTCGGATTCGGTCCAGAATTAGCGGCACCGATACCATTACGGAGGGTCTCAGCAGAGTCGCGTCGCCGGGAGTTCCGGTTTTCACCCCGGTCGACTTGTCGGTTAGAGTGAGGGGAGACGCGTAACCGATGCGAACCCCGAGCGCGATCGCCACCATTTCGCAGCAAAGCTCGAATATATGTGCCAGCGGTAGGTAGGCGATGTACGCGTCTTTCGGGTCGCCCTGCAACAACGAATGGCATCGGAGAATGAGAATCGCGAGGGAAGAGCGGATCCACAACTGACAAGATCTCTCAGAAGCTCCTTCGGGTAGTACCAACCTCCGGAACCATTGTTTGAAAACCCCGCGCGGTCGCAATGATATTCGCCTGCGTGATCATGACTCCTTTCGGGATCCCAGTGGATCCACTCGTGTACATGATGATGGCGGTGTCTTCCGGTCCGGGCACCTCTCCTGGGGAAACGAGTAGATTTCAGATTCGACTTCCCTGATCCCCGAGCCCAACAACTGACCATATCAAAGGAAATTCTTCCATTCGAAAGTCTTCTCTGGAATAGCGCAGGAAAATCACCTCTAAGCTCAGTATCTGCGGTTTTTCCAAGGCACTCCAGCTGGGAGAACGGAAGGAAATGCACTCCGCTCGGCACTACCGGTTTGATTTTCGTAATTCTTGATTCCATGTAAATAACATGCGTGACGGAAGGCAGCTTCGGAAGTAGCTTTATGACCTTGGGCAAGAGGTCTTGCGACGTTATCAGGTGAGTGGTTTCAGTCTCAGTAATGCCTGCGAACGAGAAACACGCAGTCTTACTTTGGAGTTCGTTCTCGAGAAAGACAAATCCGCGAATTCTCGTCGCCGGACACGGGCGGAAAGTCTCCGCGGGCATATTCTGACGTACCATGAATAATTCCATCTTCGCCGAGGGTTGCGTACAGCGTTACGACTGGAATGTTTATCCGGAGGCAAGCCTGGGCTGTGAGCATCCACTCCATCCTCGTCTCGGCGAGAATGCAGACATTCTGCCTGGGACGGACTCCCAACGACATCAGACCTCGTCCGACGAGATCGACTTTTTCATCGAACTCTCGGTAAGACATCCACTGGTAGTCTCCTTGAAGTTGCTGCAAAGCATCTCAGCGTGAGACATCCGCTAACGTAGGTCCTCATTACACTGACATTTTTCTTTTGGCGGGGGGAAACACAGCGAAGGATAAGTCATGGGGGAATGGTGGGGAAAATGATTCGGCATAAGCGCAGCGCGGTAAGGGTTCGCGGGAGAGTTTTTGCTCACCTTTATGAAAACCTTGCCATCGGGTTGCTCCTCTTCTTCTTCGCCGAAGGCCTCTCTCCAACCGAAACAAACTTCGTCTGCATACTGCTTTACGGCTTTTCTCGTTAGCTGATCTACGGTCTCCATGCCTTCAAAAACAGCCTCATTGATCCGATCGACTCGTCTGGACCATGGACCCGCTGGAGATGCGTTCGGAACATCGTCGACGGCCGCGAAAACCGTAAACCTAAAGCGAATTTAACCGTCGGTTGCCGTATATGCCCAATATGACGGGTATGCGTGAATAGGTTCAGTTTGACACGTTTTTTTCCCTCTTCGTTCGTTCGCTCGCTCGCTCATTCTCTCACCGAGTCCACACACATCGGCACACATTTCGCTCGAGTGATGCGTACAAGGCTCATCATCTCCCAGACACTTTTATGATGACTATACATATAAAGCATCATGACATGTAACGGGGCCGATGGATCTTTCCTTATCATCATTAACAGATAGCGAATGACGGAGTTCGCGCTTGAGGAGTTCGACTCATACATTTCGAAATATGTCAACGGGATCTCACCCGCGACGCAGAAATAATAGAAAATCCAGCTTCTTGAGCTCATTGCTCAGTGCATCATCAAGCGGAAATCTCGGCGGTGATCTTCCCCAGAATTCCGCTCGCAGATACCTCATTAGAAAAGCAAGAGTTTCGAGTGTGCAAGTAAAGACAGGCCCTGGGACAGGAAAGTGAGCTGTGGTGTGTCGGAGCTATTGGGGGAAGCGAAAGCCTCGTGCTCACAGGACTGATTGCAAAATCAGTCAATGATCTACTCGAATAAATCGCCAAACACTATTCTCTCTCACTAACGATATTTCTCCACTGTGGTATTCTTTTCCATCTGTCCTCGATCATTATGATTAAATCTCTGCATCGCGAATCGCGATGCCTTGAGACATACGGCTCATCATGCTCTCTTGGACGCGCATTCTATCAAAAAAAAAGAGTCAACAACATACCTGTTCCGCCACGTCTTCCAGGGTCGTTGAAGAACTGTATAAAAAGGTAACGTCGCCAAATCGTAGGTGTAGGTCAACGTCTTCACGACGCCAATGCCGACATTCGCACCCACGATTGAGATCAACGAAGGCTTCACTTTTTCTGATGACATTTTCTCGCTTGAGCGAAGTTCCGAACAGCGGTATCAGTAAGGCGTTCTCTTCTCCGAATAACGAGACCTCTGCAAAGAGAAAAATATAAATTATCATTCGATCGAACCTCCGGGTGAGAATTTAGCTTGCAGAACCAATTCTGAACGAACTTCGTCAACTTCTGACTTGGTTAGGCATTCTCGCCCTCGTTAGGGAATAGACAGCGTACAGCAAGGATGAATAGAAGTGTTTCGGGGCATTTTCAAATCAAGCGATGCGGAAGCAGCGTGGTTCTATGAGACGGAGATTACTCTCCTCGGTGCATGGGTGATTCAGAGGCAAATATGTCTCGTCGATATCCGCGTACGAGAACAGTTTGAAAAAGAAGATTCAGCCACCGCTGCATCGGCCTGAAGAGCACGGAGCATCTGAGGGAGACGAAGTTAGCAAGGACGGAAACTCTATTGTCCGACAATGATTGGAATCATCCACTGCCGGCGGGAATGTCCGCGACGCGAGGGCAAGCTCCTCCTGTAGCCGTTCTCGACATAGCAGGGAGATGGTTACGAATGGATAATCCCGGCGGACGCTCTAGCTCTAGATCCTGTGTCTTTCCCCCAAACTCCGACGTGCTCGGCCTTGAAGCAGCGTAGACCGTATTCGATGATGATTGGTCAGGAATCCGCCGACTAAAGGGAAAAAAACATCTGCGCTCTCAAGGAGAAGAAGACGCACTATCGTCAATGAGGCTCCAAGTGTAGATATCATCATTGGCGAATCCTGTCTGGCCCATCATACTGGGAATGCCGACCTAGAGGTGTGACGAGAGGTCGAAGCTTCTCAAGTCTCTGTCTCAAATCCTTCTAGTCGAACGACAACTAGAGCGCAGATAGGATTCGAGTACTTGCCACTTCCACCGCTCGCTTCTACTTCTACGAATACGAACAGAATAGCTGGCTCGGACGGCTCTGATTGAGATATGACTTTGAGGATGCCGAGCCAGCGAAAAGGACGGTATCTTGAGCGTAGTCTGCTTCGAATTGGCTCCGAATGCCCGAGTCGATAAGGGTCCCGAGATTCATCGAGACGAACCTCAAATGAGACTATGTATCCGTCTTCCTTGCAGGCCTCTGTCCGTTCTACGATTCCGCTCCCTAGATGCCCGAGCGATTGCAAACTTCGCGCCCTGACGTGAGCTTGGTCATTGAGGCTCCACGGTGGACGCACCGTCTTCTTGATTAGTTTCAGGAAGCTCGGCTAGATGGATCTCCCGGCTAAATGGTAATCCCAATACTCTCCGAGCAATTTGCTTTGGATAGGAAGTGACGAGTCGGGATACGACGACGATATTGTACGGAAGACCTGCCCACCTTAAGAAATATATCATAGATGACATTGTCGATGAGTTCTTGGATCCTGCATTGGCTCCACATACAATAATGTGCCACAGATGATGGATGCTGTTCAAGTTATATTTTCCGGATGGTTTCAAGAGCACCTGATAACTTGCCCCTGAGTTCCGAAAGAGTTGACAGTCATTGGCAGTCTGCGAAGGACGCGAACATCGTGGTACGAAGTAGACTGTGAGCCATCATCATCCTCTTCGGACGTGTCAGGAAGTAGACCGGTCGAAATTTGATCGAAGGCATCGATTAAATTTCTAGATGACTTCGTTTTTCCGTCTCTTTCGTAATGCGGGATAGCTGGTCTCATGCCATCAGAAAATACTATGAGACAGAAATAGCATCCTTCGAGACAAACAAATTTACTCAAGGTGCCGGTGACAAACACCAGAAGAACGGTAGAGACGATCGATCGTTTGCTCATTCGATCGGAACGAAGCCTCCGTAACTTCGGAGCCGCGCTCATGAGAAACCTCCACAGTCGGTGACCGAGCAGCGGGAATTTTATAGCGCGCTTACCGGAGGGCATTGATCTAACGGAAAGTATCGCGAGTATCCTCATGGAAAATATCCGCAAACGTATAGGGGGATGAAAACGGCTTCCTCAAAGAGATAAGGGCCTTCGTTCTCGATAAGAGTCATCCGGCGTCACAGAAGAGGCTCGCGGATTCGATCGTCGCTTCTCCCATCCTATTCATCCCTCAAGCGACAACAATTATTCTGTGACGGTGCTTTCGTAAGGGCGATTTTTACTTCTGTAGAGAGGCTCGCTAACAATGGTCCAACGGCACGGTGCTACTGCTCAACGACCAGTATATACTAGAAGAGAAACGTCGGTGATGCGGCTTACGCCGGGACAATGCGTAGCCGTCACTGAAGGGCCGTTGCCCCCTCGTTCATTGGTGGCCGGCAAGCCACGAAGGCACTTTGGGACGCAGAATTCCTCCCTTCGAGTAGAGCCCGATTCCATCATAAATTGTTTGACCCATTGCCCCCATCCGAATTCATCGATACGGCACGCCGGTATCTTGCCCGCTCCTAACTCGATTTCGGACAAGCTTAGGAATAAAATCCAACCAGACCGACGCGACGTAGAGAATCGTTGATCTCCCCGGAGGAGGAATTCAGATCCAAAAGAAAACAGTTTCGTCCCGTTCGTCGGGATGTTCGGGGAATCCGAAATTCGATCAGTCCAAAGAACCACTTCAGTTTCAACGAACGTCGGCTCAAGTTTCCCGTTGGACAAACATCGATTTATTATCGTTCTGGACGAGATATAGATCCATGAGGGAATGTCAATCGATTAGGTGGAGAGCTATAGGTCAGTGAACGAACCGGAAAATTCGGAGGCAGAGATCAATTCATATGGGACGGAGAAAAAGCATATCAAGTGACTTTTCCTCCTATGCTAAAGCATACAATTCATCGTCGAATTAAAGTCTGAGGTCACCAGTGGTAATCATCAGCTGTCGTTCCGTCAGCTGGCAGCAGAAGGTCGCCACACTAGTTGTACAAAGACCTCCATTGATGAGCTTGATCCGTATCAAAGGACCTAGAGTGAGTCGGAAAGATGAGGGATCGGACCAGAATCCCCACAGGATCCTCCGTCGAGGAAATATATCCGCTCCGAGCAAAAATATACAATCGCTTAAATCTTTCTCACTCGCTAGAATACGAGATTATCCGTGGCTCCTCAATGTGGAATTGCGCATTCAGCGATGCCTCGCTAAGATTTCCAGGGCAATGTTGGCATGACAAGTTCCGAGACGCCTCAACGCTCGTCAACACGGTCTTTCCGATGCAGTATAGCGGCCACACGATCGCTCGGTGCAACGACCTCGGCGACTCCAAGCAGGAGGATTAGAGCAATGCTGTCAGAAGTCAGATACACTACACATCGTACGAAGATCAAGCCCACAAGCGCATCCCATATACCGAGAATTTCCAAAATACTTCCTCATCAAGAGGTCCTTCCATTATATGAATGATTACCATCACACGGCTCCCGGTGCGCCAGTGAGCTAACCCGAGCTTCTGATCCGTGTTCTCAAACCTGAGTTGCGCCAGACTTGCCTCGCATTGTCTCAGTTTGTCGCTGATCAATTCACGTGAGCTCACGCAAGTCGAAAACCTGACTTTGTGTTTCCGAGGCGGCAGACTGGGCCGACATGAATCCCATTGACATTATACGGAGTGCTCGGATTCGAGGGCCGATGTCATACGCCCATCGACCGGGCCGGAGACATGAAATCAATTCGAATTGAGTGTATTGTCTGTGAGTCCAAAGTCGATAAAGGGGGGTCGCAAAGCCCTCAGATATAAGCACACATAGTTCAGATGAAGCAAGGTCACCGCGATGCCTCGCGTAAAACCTTAGGTCGCGAAACTAGGTATGCGCGCACCTTCTATGGGTACATCTATGTAAGGTGCGCGTGTAATTTCGCAACTGAGTGTATGAACTATGCCGCTATAGTCTCCCCAGCAGTATAGTTTTGGAATATCCTTACTCAGTGTTCCTGAGTAGAAACTCGAACCCTGCCTCTCAGGATCTTATCGGAGCTCAGCTCCGCTCGGAAGCAACAGTCAGCATTACTGTTGAGTAATCTTCCGGGCCAGAAGCGGAGAACAGCTTCGCCAGAAGAACGATCCATCAGGTTTTTTTTTCCGGAACGATCCCTATTACAATACATCCCAGAATATGTCGTGGCCCATCGAATTCGTCTCATGTTTCCTTCCAGAACAGTTTCAAAGCCGTCGCCTTTCCTATGTGTAGATAACGCCGGTGACAGCCTTCATTGGACAAACAGAAAAAAAAACATCGCCCGGAAACGATACAAATATTAGTTCCCGCAACCGAACGGCATCCAAGTCCCCGAAGGCGCAATATCGACGGGAATGAATTGGATCCCTCGAAAATAATTCAAACCACTGAACTGGTCGGAGATTTCCGCTCTTTGCCCTACTGCCACTTACACGAGAAGCTGAATCGGAGCGATTTGAAGACATCTCACGGATGGATCTCCCTCAATCCGAGTTCTCAAACAAATCACTAAGGCAGATTATCGTTTTCACAGCACACCGGAGCGTCAGAAATCGTTTTTTCGCAGACAAGTCACAGTATTTGGGAGTTTTTGTCAATGACGGCCTGAACAGTAGCACACTGGCTTATTCCTACACAACATCTCCATCACAAGCGCTCAGTGCACCGAGCAGAAGCCTGGGAAACAGCATGGAGCACAAGTACAGGTTCGATTGTAGTCATTCGACTCGAGTTACCCACAACCGAGCAGGCAGACGAGCGGGCGGACCCTCTGGTAGCAACTGAGTCACCAAGCAAGAGGTGCATTGAGCTGCGTGACGCCGCGTTACTATTGATCCTCATAGCTCTACAATATGGAACCGCACGTCACCGATTACCGCTGAGTCGACCCACGGCGCAGCGCACAAGCCATCCCTAGGAAAAGATATCGGACCGACCAAGCGGCTGAGCGAGCTATCGGATAGGTGCACGGGCAGGGCAAAGAGGCGACCATGCTCGAAAACTCACGCACTCGCTCATACAAACAAACGTAGTTAGCAAAGAGAACATTGACTCTCGGACGAGCCCGATCGAACGC